TATATAGGGAAAGTTACGACAACTCATTTCCATGCGCCATTTTGGGTCCCAATTATGACGCCATAAAAGCTATGACGTCATAGCTTCATACAGGTTTACATACCAAAATTATTTTTTTCTTGCAGTATTAGGCGTTGAGGGATAACGTTTTACCCTAAAAAAATGCAAAAGAAACCAATGCAGTTTGGTTCAATGATAAATATATCAAACAAAATCATACCCAAAATCGGGGAATTTTCTGAGAGCGATATCTCGTAATCAGTGTGTTTTACTATTTAATCGTAGGATTATAAATGATTTCTTTTTAAATTCCTCAAACACAGAGTGGTTATGCAAGCGAAATGTGACGAAAAATCGAAATTGACAAACATTAATTAAAAAAAAACAGTATTTTTTATATGGTGCCGGGCGTTTCTTTCATAATGGCCGCCAAATTTGGTAATATTATTATTATTATTATTATTACAGCATATTTATAGCGCGCCCTTTCATAAGACATGTTCAGGGACACTTTACAAAGTGACAATGTAATCATAAATAAACAAGATTATGTAATGGATAATGGCCGAAGACTGTCCATTATGTATATAGAAAGAACAACTGAGGGTCGTTAGCCCCGAGGTTTTTCTTTGTATTTACATAATGGACAGTCTGAGGCTATTATCTAACTTAAACCATAGCCACTCTTTGTCTAAAATAATAGACATCTTAAAACAATAGTGTCTTGTAACACCTCAGAAATAATGGACAGTTACTTAAACCAACACCGCAGTCATGTGACTGCCACTGAGTGATTTGTTAACAATTAATACAAACAAAACAAGGATATCAATACAGTCATGTCTTCCAGTGGAGAGGATATATTTATTACCCAGTTCCTAGTTATGACAATGACAATGTATGGAGTGACATATTGGATATGGGGGAGAATGCAAATCCAAGAATTGACCATCCAAATTTTAATATAGGGTAAAATATTTATTCTGATATATCGGGTGTGGATACAAACCCTGACTCTAAAGTGGAATACAAAGCCCATAATAATCGTAGTAATTCCAGATTTGCTGAACCGTTGCAACTATTGGAGCTACAAAAGTTAGTTAACGATGGATTATGTGCCCAAGCAGAAAAGAGTGGACAGGAGCATAAGAGCTTACGTACTTTTGGCCAATATTCTCAACTCTCTATTAACACTGAGAGTGAGAGAAGGAAATACATACAATATTGTGAAGATGTGTCAAAAACCGTTCGGGGTGGCCTGAACCAACGCAGAATACAACCTAAGGTCACTAGAGCGAGCGTATCAAAACCTGCAAAATCTACAATACGTCTTTAAAAAAAAATTACAAGATACAAGAATTTAAGGTAGGCTACTACTAAATGGTTGTTTATTTCGCTCTTTATTACCCAGTCTAGAATCATTTGATGAATATGTACACATTACAATTATTCTAAATTCAGAAGCATTTTGATTGGCCTTTGATTAAATGGGTCGTAAAATCAACTTTTCGTAAAATAAATTGACCAAATTTTATTGTATGTTAATAAGCCACAGAAACAAAACAACCATTCTTTCAATTATACTGGTGATGATTTAGAAAATCATGTTAAAAACTAGATTATTTCTAGTTTTCAGACCGACTGATGCTTTTTATCTGAGACCTTGGAAGCTACCAGATTCTAATGTATGGTATGGTGACTCGCCTATGGGTATTCATTTATTACAGCAGACAATAAAACGCATCTGCCAGGTGGCTGGATTCAAAGGGAACTATACGAACCACTCATTGAGAGCTATCGCAGCTACACGTTTGTTTGCTGCAGGAGTAGATGAACAGATCATTGTGAAAAAAAACTGGACATCGTTCAAGTGCATATAAACGGACACGCGACAATCAACTATCGGACTTGCGTAACATTTTTGTAGCTGAAAAGTGTCCAAAATTGTGTCAACTGTCATGTCCAAAACAAAATAATTCAAAAGTGTCCAGTGATTCCCGGGAAATTAACATCTATTCTTCGGAAATTTCAATTTATTTAAAATTTTGTAAATGTTGAAAGGGAAATTAGTAATAAATGGACAGGTTGTTTTGATTTATTTTCAGTTGGTTAATATATAATGACTACACTTTATTATTAATGTATTTTTCACTAATAATGGACAATGTCTAAAAATAATGGACTATTTCCATTAATAATGGATTGTTTTCATTAATAATGGACTGTTTGTTTAGACAACAATCCATTCCTCATTATAATGGATTAAAAACAAAGGATGACATCATAGCTGTGGTTTAAGGACATGTTAACTATTGTATACAGTCAGTTAAAAGCCTCATTAAATAAATGTGATTTAAGTTGTTTTTTAAAAGAATAGAGAGATGTACAACATCTTAAACTAAATGGTAGATTATCCCATAAAGCAGGTGCTTGATAACTAAAAGAGAGCTGACTATAAGAGACTAGTTGAACAGTTTTGGGCTTTAAAAGTAGTTTATCTGATGTACGTAATGTTCGGCCATTATATCGTGATTACGTACGCGAAATGTGCGAAAATCGAATTTGACAAACATCAATTAGAGAAATGTATTTTTCACGTGGTTGAAAATACAAAATCGCAGCTACATAAATTGACGGATATTAAATTAATCGTCATGTTTCCTGTTGGATATTAGATAGTGTCTCTAAAGCACGATGTACACTGTAGTTCGATGTACCCTGTAGTTCAGATACAGTCTCCAAACCGTGTTTACACTGTAGTTTGGGTGTAGTTCGTCAAATGAAGATGAATTTTACGATATATCCATCCTGAAATAACAAAAAATGAATATATTGTAAACGCGCTTTAAATATCTGGATGCGATAGACTTCGTGATAAATAATTCAAGGTACATAATATCATTGGCAATAAGAAGATCCAATTTTAGTTTTTAGTTACACACTGTTAACCACCAATAGATGTTTTAATGACAATAAATCCTAAAATGTATTCAGCTCGACGTAAGACTTAAATACAGATACAGATACAGTTGGTTTAACTTGAATAGAGATTTTAATTATCAATGCTGCGTATACGCATATATCACATTACAGCCGAATCACATTATATATCTTTTTAGTTGATGTTCATATCGTCTTACGTATTTGTAAACATCGAGGTGAACTTGCTCTATTTACTCACCCCAACCTCGCATAGTTATGAATTTATTGTTTCACTTGACTAAAGAAACATTTTGTAGGAATGTATGCTTTTATAGATTGAACACTTGTTTGCTATATCATTTTCGGTGGAAACTGGCACTATACCTAAAGAATGATTAAACAAATAGCGGAGTCGGGGTTTCAGCCGGCTGATTTAAATTATTTCTTTAAATACAGTAAAGCTTGAAATATGTTAGTTTTCACTCTTTAGAATGTTTTTGTAAATAAGTTTTTATTGTAGTTTCCGTGGCGTATTCCCAATAAGCGTTAGAAACAATCCCGGTGCCGATAAATGTTGGGTTGTGTGGAACATGCTAACAAATCTCAGGTACGATATATGTTTGATTCTGGTTGAGAACAGCATGAGAGCAACATGATTGTTTTCATTGGAGATGAGACGCAAATATTCAAAGGGGTCAGACAAACTCTAAACCAACCGCGTTCCCATCACCGAGTCCCTTCAAAGGAGGCCCTGTCTGTCTACCTGTGGATTAACATGCATTTGTATCTGTTATATTTGTGTGGTAGACAGATTGATATTATTTATACATAGGCGGGGAGTGATAACGTCTTACCCCAAACTAATTGCAAAAGAAACCATGAAGTTTCTGAGAGCGATATTTCGTAATCAGTGTGTTTTAGTGGTGGGGGAATAAATAATTTCTTTTTAAATTTTTCAAACACAAACTGGTCATAGAGGCGAAATGTGCCGAAAACCGAATTTGACAAAAATTAAAAAATGTATTTTTCACATATATGGCGCCGGGCATTTCTTTCAAAATGACTGTCAAATTTAAAATAGTATTTTCCGACAAGACCAGCGATAATCTCGTAAGATATGATTTTTACTATGTCTTTTAAATGGTTTTCGACGTCTCTTCAAGGCCACCGTCGAGTGCCGAAGTCGTGAAACGCACCGTCGGGGGATTTGTTGGGGCCTGTCTTCCCCAGAAAATTTCTAGAAATTTCAAGCCGGTCTTGCCAGGCCGTGAATACGGCAACCTGAAAGTGGTCCATTTTAATGAAGACATCTGAACTCCAATCAACAAATCAATCAACCAGGCTGTTGTTGCATTCACATGACACCAGACGTGTCACCGATGAAACAAATATGCCTGAAACAAATGTCGCTGTTAGTGCGACCCATTTGTGACAATTTCTAGGTCCCAAATATTAACGATTTAGCTCCTTTAAAAGCGAATGCAAGTTAAATATGTTTAATAGCACTTTTATCTAGTGTATCTTTTATTTCGATTTTTCTTATAGAATAAGGCTATATTACAATAATGTGCGCTTTTTGTTGTATAATACTAATAATAGTATGTTCAGCTATACCTTTCGTTTAAAAAATGTATGTTTTATGTTCTATAGACACTTATTCGCTGAAATCTATGACATCCAACAATATAATAGGGCATATAAATAGATAATAAGTTGGTAGAGTTACTTGGGACCCAAGATGGCGTCTTTGTACACTTGACGTCATATGAAATTCCTGGCTTCACAGTAAGTCGCAACTTTATCTATACACGGCTTTGCGTCGACCAACCATGCAATGTGAAGTAGATGTCAATATGGCTATGTGTAAGAATATTCAGTTAAATATATTCACGGTGTATGATTTTATTCATACTTCAATTTTAGTGAGTTAATTCTGCAACGTTTTTAGAAAAAATTGCTATTAATTTGGCCAGTATAATAATTATAGTATTATCAAATTAGTAGTTTTTATTGACCCCAATAACTGACTCGGTTACTATAAATAAATGGGTTTTTCAATAATAGGGTTCTCTTAAAATTATTTCCCTGTTGTACAGCCCAGATGCGCGCCCTTTTCTTAGAACCACAAGCTCCCTGATATTTGTAGAAGACGGCTGTGTTATAGTTTAGGAGAAATAGCTGTGATCATATACAATATCATATAATGTCTGATCAAGTGAGTACAGATATTAACAATCTTTACACGATAGAAAAGTCGTATTGTCCGTTTACACCTAGTAAAGACGCCATAATTTGTGACGACCTTTTATAAGGGTTTTTAGGTGCATTTGTCCACAAGTTGATCCAACCCAAAAGAAAAGTTCATGTTGGACAGCCCGATTCAAGCACTAAAATGACGTGTAAATACAGAGTTTACCTGAGTGAGTTCAGTGATAATATATGAGGTATAATCGTCATTAATTAATAATCCTCAAAGATAGAAACCATGCCCCTTAACAATAATCCTCTAAGATAGAAACCACGCCCCTTAACCCAATGACAGACCATATGATCTAACACGTACCTATGGTAGACCTGTCACTCACTTCCCCGCCCGAGGGTGGATGGCTGGATGGCCGAGTGGTTAGCGCGTGTGCGCTGTATCATAAGGTCTGTCATTGAGTCAACTGGCGTTGATTTGATTTAGTTTAAACACTAATATTGATTACAATATACACCCAGTATTGATCTACCTTGACATTCAACAAGCTCGTGCTGTGGGAATTCCCGATATTATCACGCTTAGTCAGTTCCTATAAATAGATTGGTTTTTCCATAATGGGGACCTCAAAAAAATATTTACCTGTTATTTATCACAGCCCCGCCCATTTTCTAATAGCCCGTTCAGGGCTTATATTTAAACCAGTTCATAATCGCTGGGGTTTTTAAGACAGCATCGTGTTGCGTTCACGCGTACTATAAGCCAAACCAGTTTAACTATTCTGACCTCTTCGGCCGGAGGTTAGAGTTAACTACGCATGGATAGCTTCATATTAAAAACACAACACAGTTTATATGGAAAATGAAATGAAATGAAATGGAGTTTAACGTCCTACTGTTATGCTCCTAACCTGGGCTAATGAAGACGGGCATACGCCATACAGTGTGCTATGAGGGAAATTTTGCCCGGACAGCGGCACTACGGCCTACTCTTATATCGAATTCCAACTGCCAAGGGATCTTTTACGTGCACGCCAATGTGTACACGGGACCTCGGTTTTTCGTCCCATCCGAACGACTAGACAGCTTTCCTTGTCAGCCCCTCCGTCCTGCATCACTGACAAGGGAGAACCACGCCGGAAAATCTGGATGAACTTTCTCGGCCAATGCAGGGATCGAACACCCGACCTCCAGGCTAGCGAGCTAGCGACTTAGCCACGTGATCCCCAGTTTATATGGAAATACAATCACTAGTTTATAGGCATAGCACGACGTTTCGACAAGTATTCTCGTATCGTTATCAATATCTAGCACATCATTTGTGGGGCAATGAAGGTCTTTATGATCGGAAGCGCACCCGTTAAGACTAATCAATCACCCACTTCTGCCCCCCCCCCCTTCCTGACACAATTCTCTTGCTTCTCTTTACACACGTGACTATAGTAAATAAAAACAAATCGTATGTTGTCTCGTAGTTTTCTAATCAAATTAAAAAATTGTAGCTACAAAACAATTCTCGTTGCAGATTAAATTGAATTTATAATATGACGTAATCAATTACACAGTAACTGGTTGAAACTAGTTCAAGTTGTCGGAATTCCCGTTATGTATTATGAATGTGTTTTCTCAATATATGTTATATAGAGGTTAAACTATATATAAAACCAGTCTGACCAGTAGATTATATTATGTATTAAAAAGACCAGCCTGACGAGTAAATTATATTATGACTTTATACATCTGTAAACGTGAAGTGAAACTTCAAATTAAAGAGACATTATTCCAGAGTTAAATCTGCCTAGCCAGGCCTTTCTTTAGGCCTTAAATATTGTATAAACTATTAATTAGACATTTGTTAACATGACAAGTTCATAATCGATTCCCTAGACCATCGGGTGGCCACGAGTTTACTTTGAATGATATTTTCAATATATTTTCATGTATTTTGCATTACCTGTTTTTGAAATATTATAGCACGAACGGCCAGCTCTTTATCTAAATCTTTCATTATGCTTATTTAAAAGAACCTTTGTCTAATTTTAAGAATTGGCAGTATTGCCTTCATATTGTTTACGTGGTACGCAGAAGTAATATTAAAATACTCGACTTCTACGATTTAAGTATAATTTGATTAAATTTGCGTAATGGACATCCACCCCCTTCATCTTATATTAAATCCAGAAGTATAGAATTTTTATCACACCAATGATCAAAATAAGTAATCTTCAAGCAAGAGGTTATCTAACGCATAGATGTAAGACCTGTTAATTGTGCAAGTCGTGGATGTGACCCCACGCTTGTCCGTGAACAGAGGTCAGAAGTAGAGTAGCCTAACCCCGTGACCCATCATTCGAACGACAAGCCACATTTTCTTTCTTATCCCTGCGTGCTGAGAAGTGGGGACTGGACCTAACATACCCCCCACCACGCCCACTGATAGTATTTATTGTTATAAAATGTTTTATATATATATTATAATATATTATTCAGAACGTAACCAACAACATCCTGGCGTGTACTATAAACAATACATATCATGTTAACGGCGATGGTCTCGGGGTGCAGATTGGAAATGGTAATAGTATCCAACAGACCAATCAACTTCAAGAAGAGGTGGTTGACCTGCGGGAAGAGTTGGGTGAATTAAAAGACCGAGTCAGACAGCTAGAGGAAAGAATGGCCGCATCAGAAAATAATAATGATGATAAAAACACTGAGGAACCAGGATATAAGATGGATGACGAGGAGGAGGAGGAGAAGGATGTGATTACTCTGAACATCAGGTGTATGTAAGTATAAACTATGTTTTATAATATAATATATATTTACATGTACTACATGTTTGATAATATAATTTGTAACATGGATGGGAAATCTTCCTTTGTTCTTTTCGTTGAATAAGCAGATTGTTTTCCCTCTAGTAGATTGGGTGGAACTTAACCGTGCAATAACTAGACATGTTCAATGTTATTGCACACTTATGCTGGTTTACACTAGTTTTAGTAGAAATCATATAGAAAAGTGGGGTGGGTTTTCTGTGCAATAACAATAAGCATGTTGAGCAGTTGTCAATGTTACAAGTCATTTATAGCACGCTTCATTCGTTAACATGAAAGCCGTGCTATAAATATAACATGTATATTTACCTTTATCTCGATATATTACAGTATATACTACATGTTATACAATATATTTAACTGGTATTACAGTGATGTGTATAAAATGGTACCTGTATTATATTTACATATATCTATAGGTGTTTTAACAATTGTAATATATTTACCTGTATCTATAGAGGTAGGTATTATAATATAATATATATTTACCTGTATTTACAATAGTAGGTACAATATATATTTACCTGTATTTACAGTGGGTATGGTGATATAAGTGATATAAGTGTTAGTAAAGATAAAACTATAAGTGAACTAGAACCTATAATACAGCAGGGGTATAGAAGGAAGTATGGTAAAGGTGTTGATGTTTGTCATATTCTGCGTATCTACAGTGTAAAACAGAAGAAGTTCATCTACCGCTGTAACAACAACAAAGATCTACCATTATCACATTATGGTGTACGTAATAGTGATAGAGTCTGGGGGTGGCGGTAGTCTGTTTGGTTGTAAAACAGGAAGAGTTTATATACATATATAAGTCTTGTTTTATGTACTGATATTTATACAATCCCAGGTATATGGGTATACGTTATCACAATGTCATATTATAATGGATATCTTATATTTTGTATTCAATTTATTGTGATCAATATTTATTTCAAGATCAAATTGTTTTATACTCATGGTTCTAATGACCGATCAAACATACCCGTAAGTTAACAGCAAGAATAGAGAGAGAGAGAGAGAGAAATGGGGTTTAACGTCCACTCGACACAAACTAGGTCATTTCGGGACTAACATATGGTTTAATTTTATTTCAATAATTCGCTTGCGCGTAGGGGTCTTTAGCAGTGGGAGGAAACCGGAGGAGCCGGAGAAAACCCACGAGGTTGGACAGGCGACCCTACTCCTTGTCACGTACAACCGGGGATTCGAAACCACGCCAGTTGACTCAATGACAGGCCTTATGATACAGCGCGAGCGTGCTAACCATTCGGCCACCCAACCCCCCTAACAGCAAGAATAATGAGATATATATTCCCGTACATGTGATCATAGGTCCGGTGGGGTGTGGGTTGTCAAAGAAATAAATAGATACATATTCCCATATATGGTATCCTAAGTGGGGGTTGGGGGTCGAAATAATTAGATACATAATCCAATACATGCGGTCCTAGGTGTGTGAGGTGCAAAGCCCAGCTTAGACACGGACCCACGCGGTTTATTAGGGGGGCCCGCGGTTCATGGCAAAAAGAGAAAAAATCAAATTCCAGATGAAAGTTTCACGTTAATCGCCGTTATATGTCATTTCATGAATGCCATTCGGAACTGAAAAGATTTCGTATGTTATTATTCTTGTATTACAGACCGTTTAATTGTGTGCTACGCATGCGTGGCATTCAAAAGGATGTGAAATAATCTATTCGTCGCGTTAGGGGCTCCGCGATTCTAGTCGGGCCCAAAGCCCCGCTCTGGTTAGGCTGAACTTTGGTTGGGTGTCAGAGAAAATAAATTAGATATATGTGGTACTGGACGGGTGATTGTGACCACTGATCTTATGTCAGAGATTGAACAAGAATAATTCGATACATATATTCATATACATCTGGTCCTAGGTGACAGGCATTAGTACGACTAACTTACGAGTTTTATTATGTATCATTTCAAAAATTGATCTACTGACTATTCCGTGGCTTATTTAGCAGGTGCACTGTGCGGATGTGTGGGTATGGGGCGGTATAGTGTGGTCGGATAATTGTAATGCAACACGCCTGATAACTGATTCGTGATCTTGTATACGAGGTTGTTACAAATGAAAGGAGATAGATAAAAAAAAGTCTTTAGAATTTCAGAATTTCACTTTATATATAGAAGTGTTGAATATAAATGTTTCAGTGTATGTATTATTGTTTGTCTTTTATGAAATAATAGAAGAATGCCCGGCTTCGCTCGGGGGTCATAACCCCGAAACCGGAAGCGGTAGGCTAACGCCACCTGGCCTATGTTACTCCCCGGTCCGCGCTACCCCTATACCCCAAATTTCAGACTCGGGACAGACCTAGTGTAGCCGCCAACCCCGAACAGACAGACAAACGACAGTCACAAATATTAGTATAGAAGATTGAAAGCCATCATGTTCCCACCGCTGTCTTTATAGATCTAAATATTATCATTTTAGCCAAGTTAATTCATATCAGATGATTTATTCCTTGTTTGTCAACGCGTAAAATTGACACAAGTTTCATGGTAATGGCTCCGAAGAATAACTTTGGGGATTATGGAATCGGCTACCATTTGTCAGATGTGACGGCAGAAACGGAAACCCATAGACGTAAATGATGTGTAGTCAAGTTGAAATATGACGTGATCTTCAGAATATCTACATTGATCTATATAGTAAATACACGAGTATCCCGAGAGAGAGAGAGAGAGAGAGAGAGAGAGAGAGAGAGAGGAGGATGGGATTTAAAGTCTACTCGACACAAACTAGGTCATTTCGAGACTAACATGTGTTTCAATTTTATTAAAAGGGGACCCACACCAACCCAGAAAAACACTATTATAATATGCACAATCTGTAGACGAATAAACTATCTTGTCCAACACATGTCCCCCGCGAGACCTGGGTAACCCCATAAAAAAATCCCGGAAAGGGACCTGAGATTTACTGGATAGTGTAAAACCAACTGGCCTCTGATCAACCGTCTTGACCAGAGGGTACATGTATTGTCAAGCCCAGCTTAGACATAGGCCCGAGAGGCTTAGAGAGTAATGGTCAGCAAAATTGTAACACATGGCGAATAAAATAGAAAATATACACCTTCGAAGATTAGCCCTATTTTTCATGATGCGGGGTAGGTCAAACTATCGAAATGGTTTTATGCACAGCTCAACACCCTGTATCGATATAAGAATTATAATAAAATCTCTGTCACCTCTTTTTATCCAATGCGAAATCATAAGCCAAAGTTTGTGAATTTTCCCTATTGTTAATCTCTGATTCTCTATGAAATGGCCAATTACTTTCATTCAGGGTAAGCCAGCCTTCTCCGTATCTTCACCAAATCATTCATCCATGCTCGCTGGTAGCAGCAGTAAACCGACTCAAGCAAAACTGGTCTCTTTGATGAGGCTTGGTATCCAATCCAAGATGGCCATGTCCGAGACCGCAGAAAATTGAGTTTTTTCTTCATTTTTGGCCATTTGTTACAATTTTGCTGACCATTACTCCCAGAGAATAGATACGACTTTAAGGTCTTACATTGGGGCACAGGAAGACCCCCACTAAAATCACCAACCACCACCATTCTCACCCAAACCCTAGACTCGCCAAAATAGGTGGCTAAAATTGACCAAAAATGACCTGAAAAGGGAAAAATTGGCCAAAAATAAGCCTGAGGCTGTATCTCAATAACGGTTAAATTTTCTTCTGGCTGTGAAATAGTCTGGAGTAGTCCATAAAATTCCTACCCCCCTCCCCCGAGATGAACTCGATCTGCCGCCCCCCCCCCATCTTCCCGATTCTGCATGATTCTGCATGGTTTTCTCATGGAATGACTCTTAATTGTGTGTTACGCATGCGTGCCATTTAAAAGGATATGAAATAATCTTTTCATCGCCTTAGGGACCCCGCGATTCTAGTCAGGCCCAAAGCTCCACTCTGGTTAAGCTGGGCTTTGTGTATTGTAACATCTACCATCTACAGCATAGTGTATGTTAAAACCGTCTGAAACCTGTATGTTAAAACCTCATGAAACCTGTATGTCAAAACCTCATGAAACATGTACATTTAAACCTCTTGAAACCTGTATGGTAAAACCGTCTGAAACCTGTATGGTAAAACCTCCCGAAACCCTGTATGGTAAAACCGTTAATTGATGTAGCTGTTCTATTTGTCAGACATCGTTGAAAATCAAGGGCCATTACTATACACAAGAAACACTGGTATACACCACATCACAATGGTATACACAAGAAACACTGGTATACACAAGGACACAAATGGTATACACCAGGAAGGACACCACCGAAAGAATGTACACATTGTTTAAACTAGTTATTTTTCGCATAGCTACCAGTTTGTAGAGTTCAGGCAAAACAGAAGTACTTTAAACACCATTTCATTTCACCAGTTTGTAGCCTTTCTTGACCAGACCCTATCTATTTGAGAAATATCTTGGGTGATCAACTACTGACTACATTACAAATATATGACAGGTGTAAATCATAATTCATCCAGGAAATCAATGACTAACAACGCAAATGTATGTCAGCAGCTGGTTTTGTCCAGATACTGGCCAAAAACAATCCTGGTGCAGGATGATTAGTCTATCAAGGAAAATGCATCATATCATTCGGCAGGAAACCACATCAGCGTACATATTGAAGAATCTTTAACAGTTTGAATGCAAAGAAAATAGGTGGAACACTGCTGTCAAAACAAGATGTCCCTCACAGCACACTGCGAGCACTGAGTATGACTATCTCTATTATTGGTCCAGTAGGACATTAAACCTGATTTCCCAGCATGGTCGCATTTCTTTTAAAAAGGGTTAGGTTTAGTATGGCGACATTTCTTCTAATGTTAGAGCTGGTATTCCCCAAGTAGACACTGAACATGGGTGTAATTTACCTAGACCATTAGAACCGTGGATAATAATAAAGGCAATGGTGAACTAACTTATTTAACAGTTTGAGGTTGATTTGGTTGGGGGAAAATGGAAGAATCTGAAATCATCTTTTCGATCCAATTTTCCGTGAAGTTCCCAGTTTTTTATTTGTTTTTTCTTCCATCATTTGAGCTATGTATTGTTCTTGTTGTTTTTCAACATCAATTTCCCCGACTTTCTGTTTGTATTTATGACTTTGTTCCATCAACAGATTTCGTAACCTTTTTATTTTCTCATCTTTATCTTGTATGTTGACTTCTTGATTTTTACACCTTGTCTTTGTTTCTATAAAAGAATAAATAGAAGGAAGATTATTATCTTCTCAACATAATACAAAATAAAACAAGTGGTTGCCATGGAAGCTAAGCCCACCTTGATACAAAATAAAACAAGTGGTTGCCATGGAAGCTAAACCCACCTTGATACAAAATAAAACAAGCGTGTGCCATGGAAGCTAAGCCCACCTTGATACAAAATAAAACAAGGGGTTGCCATGGAAGCTAAACCCACCTTGTCTTCTGTTTCTGTAAACGAATGAATAAACAGAATTGATATCCAATAACAGAATGGAGTTCAATATCTTGTCAAACAATACTTAGGAAATTTTGATACAAAATAAAACTAGTGGTTGCCATGCAAACTAAGTCCACATTTTGCCAGTGATGGACAGAATAAGATTTTAAAAAAGCAATTTTTCGTACAGTCAGGGTCAATAATGAAGGATTTTATGACCCAACATGTGTCAATATCCTTAGGAACCGAGACTGACAGGGGTCGATCACATGTGGATGTATAAAAATTGATAATCCTTATTCTTATAATTAAGCATGCAGAGCCAATGGGTACATAATGGAGAGAGAGAGAGAGAGAGAGAGAGAGAGAGAGACGGGGTTTAACATCGACACAACACAAACTATGTCATTTCGTGACTAGCATATGGTTCAATTTTATTTCAATAATTCGCTTGCACGTAGGGGTCTTTAGCAGTGGGAGGAAACCAGAGGACCTAGAGAAAACCCACGAGGTTGGACAGACGACCCTACTCCTTGTCACGTATAACCAGGGAATCGAACCACGCCAGATGACTGAATGACAGACTTTATGATACAATGTGCACATGCTAACCATTCAGCCACCCAACCCCCCGGGTACATGAATGGACCACGCTTTTATGTCCCATCTGCAGGACTTGACATAATTTCTTTGTTGGCCTTGCAGGTGCCACCCCTGATAAAATCACAGAGGTTCTACATGACAAGGAGTAGGGTCGCCTGTCCAACCTAATGGGTTTTTCTCTGGGTTCTCTAGTTTCGTCACACTGCTATAGACCCCTACACGATAGCAATTTACTGAAATAAAATTGAACCATATGCCAGTCCCGAAATGACATAGTTTGTGTCAATCAAAATGGCCGTCCCTCGTTCACAATTTTCTACTGATTGTGATGAAACTTGAAATGTAAGTTTATAACCCAACGATCTTGGTTACTTTCGATATTTGCGCATATCGGACTGTAACTTCCTGAATTATGGCCCCTGATTGTACGAAAAATCGCTTTTTGTTTTGCTTGTTCTCTATCCATCTCTTGCAAAATGTGGGCGTATCCTGCCTGGCTAGGGTTCCCAACCGTTTTCATCCCATTTACTACGGGTAACTTTTGGAAATTCCTCATTACAGCACACCAAATGTTATTGAGGAGCTTTTTCGACCAATACATCTGGGATTTTGAGGTTAGTGAGTCTTCGCCTTACTCACTGCGGCTCCCAAAAATCAATCAAATTACTGTAGTACAGTATGGTGGGTTAACTAGCTAGTAACTCCTATCTACATGTAGGTGTTGTGATGTAAATCAAAGTAAGTCATGTGATTTATAATATATATTATATTTTTACCTGTCCATTTTGATTCAATATCTTTCTGTCTGTTTGACATCTGTACTGTTTTACCTGAAAACAAATCCAATCATATTCATATGGTACCAAGGCCCAATCATTCTCTCAAGCTGTACCAAGAAGACCCAATCATATTCATTGTTTCAAATCAAGACCCAATCATATTCATTGTTTCAAATGGTATTAAAACACAATAATATTCATTGTTTCAAATGATACCAAGACCCAATCACATTCATTGTTTCAAATGGTCAAGACTCAACCATGTTCATTGTTTCAAATGATATCAAGATTCAAGACCCAATCATATTCATCCTCTCAAATTGTACTATGGTTGAAATGTATAAGGGTTCTGTAACTACTGTGACATACCCCCTGATACTCTATGGACACGAATCATGGATTCCTGAATATCACGTTTTTATGGAACCTAATAACCAAATTCTACTTACGAAGCCCCAAATGAAAGCTTTTCTCGTTCTAGTTGTTTGGTGAGAATCTCTATTTCACCAAGTGAAAACTCCAGTTTATCGGTAACCTCTGTTAATTTGTTACGTGTTCTTGTTGACGTCCATTTGACACAAACTAGGTCATTTCAGAACTAACATATGGTTCAATTTTATTTCCATAATTCGCTTGCGCGTAGGGGTCTTTAGCAGTGGGAGGACACCGGAGGACCCGGAGAAAACCCACGTACTACTTGTCACGTACAACCAGGGAATCGAAACCACGTCAGTTGACTCAATGACAGACCTTATGATACAGCGCGAACATGCTAACCATTCGGCCATCCAGCCCCGCCCCGCCTCTAATATTGAATATTCAAGCACTGGGATACATTGCAAGTGTGTCCATTGAATGAACTCCTGTAAGGGAGAGAGAGAGAGAGAGAGAGAGGGGGAGAGAGAGAGGGGGAGAGAACAAAACATTTACTGGACACTAATCGGGACCCTTCGGTACTTACATATGCTGCATGTTTATTTCAATAGTCGTTTTTCAGCGGACGGGAAACCAAAAATAACCTATTGGTGTGGCAGTGAGCAATTAACAAACCTAACAATGTTGATCTAGACCTATTAAAGATGTATTTTGTAGGAGCTAAAATTTCCTATTACAGGTCTTTAGTTTGGTCTCAAATGGTTCATTAATCACTAAGGGGGGGGGGGGGGGGTAAATGGTTCGCGTGTGGGGCGTTTTTAATAAAGTCTGTCATTGAGTCAACTGGCATGGTTTCGAATGCCCGGTTGTACGTGACAAGGAGTAGGGTCACCTGCCCAACCTCGTGGGTTTTCTCTGGGTCCTCCGGTTTGCTCCCACTGCTAAAGACCCCTACACGCAAATGAATTGTTGAAATAAAATGAAACTATATCTTAGTTTGTGTTGAGTGGACGTTAAACCCTATTTGTCTCTGTCTCTCACATTAATCACATGTAGACATGTATTCACATGCCAAGTCCATCAACTCTCTGGGACATCGGAGGGAAAAATTGTGATTTTCAACGGATTTAAACCTGATCGACAGTTAGTAATGCAATTGAAGATTGGGTAATCGAGACTTTGTTTGTTAATACCATCAGGAAATTATTTAAAAATTAATGGAGTAAAATGAATGGTTAGGAAATGGGGTTTAATTTCTCGTAGACAAGCGCAATACTTTGGTAATTTTGTTTATTGTTTATTGTTATGGTTACTGGTATAATGCAGCTGTGTTTTGCCCGGATAGCAAAGTTTTCACCTGCTCGATCTTTTGTACGTTTACGCCAACGTGTCCAAAATGCACATGATGGGTTGATCTCATCATTTTTCTAACCTTGACATTTCTCTTTATCAATTATAATACTGACGTAATACATATTGTAGACTCTATTATCATATAAACACTTTTTATATCTGGAACTGTAGGTCTCAACAATCTAGGCTACAATGAAACTGAAATAGTTACTATAAATAAATGGGTTTTTCCATGAGGGGCTTCTATAAAATAAATACTTCCCGTTTGTTTGGGCAGCGTCGCCCAAGTTTTAGTGTCACAGAGCGAGTAGACATCGCTATAAGGTTGTAGTGTAGATAATTCAAGACACCTGGTTGACGTTTTTAATAACCCAAATCACATTATAAATGATGTCTAATCACGTGAGTACAACGTTATACATCAAATATAAATATCAATATTTAAAACTTGCTGTTTGTACTTGTGGAGCAGATGATCTACTTTTATCAACTGTTTATACGTCGAGTTTATTATATTAAAGTATCTAAAACTTTTAATTTTGAAATAGTTTAATTAAAGCAGAATGGAAATGGGTTGATATTGATATGCGATACTGTGACCAGGGGCCTGTTTCACGAAATTTTAACCCTTATCCTAAATCACAATCCACATATGACGTAATAACACCTGGCTCCAGTGGATGGAAAAAAACGCTTACCCATTCGTTAGTGTGAACTGCAAGGGTAGACAACTCTGTTTGGGAGATTGGCTCGTGCTGTGGGATTTCACGGTATTTGATTTTATACACAATAGTAATATCATATCGTTGAGTGAAATAACTGAGTCAGTTACTATAAATAAATGGGTTTTTCAATAATGGGGTTCTCTAAAAAATATTTCCCTGTTGTACAGCGCAGACTCACCCCTTTTCTTAGAACTAAAAGCTCTCGAACATCGATAGAAGACGGTTGTGTTATAGTTTAGGAGATATACCTGTGACCATATACAATATTATCTAATCAATATGTCTGATCAAGTGAGTACAGATATTAACTATCATTACACGATAGAAAAGTCGTATTTTCCGTTCACACAATTCTAGTAAAGACGCCAAAAGTTGTGACGACCTTTTATAAGGGTTAAGGTACATTTATCCACAAGTTGATCCAACTCAAAAGAAAAGTTCGTGTTGGACAGCCTGATTCAAGCACTAAAATGACGTGTAAATACAGAGTTAACATGAGTCATTTCAGTGATAATATATGGGTATAATCTTCATTAATTAATAATCCTCTAAGATAGAAACCACGCCCCTTAACCCAATGACAGACCTTACGATCTAATACGTACCAGTTAGACCAATCACTCACTTCCCCGCCCGGGTGGATAGCCGAGTCGCATGCGCGCTATATAATAATGTCTGTCATTGAGTCAACTGGCATTGTTTCGATTTCCCGGTACGTGACAAGGAGTAAGGTCGCCTGTCCAACCTTGTGGGTTTTCTCCGGGTGACCGGGTCCTCCGGTTTCCCCCCACTGCAAAAGACCCCTACGCGCAAGCGATTTTTTAAAATATAATTGGATCATGTGTTAATCCCGAAATAACCTAGTTTGTGTTGAGTCGACGTAACCCCCCCCCCCACCACCACCTCCTCTCTCTCAATCTCTCTCTCTCTCTTTGTAGATAAGTCAGTCAGTCAGTCAATGCAATATAAGTCCATATTTTAGTGGATCATTGTTTTATTGTGAAAAGTTGAGTATAGCAACTGGTCCTCAACTTTCAGATCGCAAGTTATTTAGGACATAGAATAACTTGGAACGAGATTTACCGTTACATGTTTATAAGTTTAGTTTAAACACTAATATTGATAAAATTATACACCCAGTATAGATCTACCTTGACATTCAACAAGCTCGTACTGTGGGAATTCCCGATATTATCACGCTTAGTCAGTTACTATAAATAGATTGGTTTTTCCATAATGGGGACCACAAAAAATTATTTACCTTTTATTTAGCACAGCCTCGCCCATTTTCTAAGAACCATACAAGCCCCCTAATATCGATAGAAGGCGGCTGTGTTGTAATTTAGGGGATATAGCTGTGTTTATTTACAATTATTTACAGTACAGATATTAACGTTGTCCAGGGGCGTAAATGTGGGGGGGGGGTACCCCCCCCCCCCCAGGAAAAACAATAGTCGGTCGCAAAATCAGTGCAGTCGGTCGCAAAATAAGAGCAGTCGGTATCAAAATAAGTGCTCACTGCACACGTCACGCTACTCACGCAAAACTTTAGTATAAAATAACCATGTCAACTTATCATGTTTGAAAAAATGATGTGTTTCACTGTTATTCTGTTGTGAGTATGTAGGTCTAAGAACAAAATTTCCCCCAGGTGGAAAAATAGTCGGTCTCAAAATAAGTGCAGCCACTGCAGTCGGTCTCAAAAGCATGCATCGCTGTCTTAATGAATTAATGAGATAAACATATAATGCCAGAAAAGATCCCAAATACTAGTCGGTCGCAAAATCAGTGCAGTCGGTCGTAAGATATGAGCAGTCGGTATCAAAATAAGTGCTCACTGCACACGTCACTCTACTCACGCAAAACTTTAGTATAAAATAACCTTGTCAACTTATCATGTTTAAAAAAATGTTTTTCGCCCTATGGCAAAAAAATAGTCGGTCTCAAAAACAAAGTGCTCACCGCAGTCGGTCTCAGACTAAATGAATTAATGGAGTGTTTTCTGACCATCAGAATTCTGCAAAATCTCTCCCCAAAGTCCAGGGCATTTCAGAGACCAAGTAAGCGCCCCATTGAGGTAAAGTGCCCTCAGGCCCAGTCCTCAAAAATTAAAAGCTCAGTTACATATCGGCGCTCAATTCCATTATGCCACCATTCTTCAACTTCTTCTCTGTCTTATACTATCTCATCACTATCATATTCACAGTTACAGTGAATCGCCCAGTTAGTAGTACGAATAGTGAGTGAGTCGTGGTTCAAAAGACTGTAGAATTGTTAGTTCTACTCTCACAAAACAGGCGACATTGACAGATAGGCCTCAAGATTCTGTCCCATTTCTTATCCTCTCGTTAACGAGAATTTGGATCCATTTGCCATGACATTAAATAAAATTGTCAGGCCCAGTCCCAAAAATTAAAAGCTCGGTTACATATCTGAATTTTTTTCGCGCCTGCGGCGCTCGATTCCATTATAACATCATTGTTCCACTTCTCTGTTGTCTTATACTGTCTCAGCACTATCATATTCACGGTTATACTGATCTGCCTAGTTATGTTAGTAGTACCACTGGCACTGTTCTGTGGGGCGTCAGCCTATACAAAAGTTCTGTCAACTCTTGCAAAACAGGCGGAATTGACAGGGGCAGATCTCGAGATTTTTTCTAATTGACTACTGCACATGGCCCCTACAAAACTCGCACCTGTGGTGCTCAGCTCCTGACTGCGTCACTCGTACTAGGATTATGGGCATCAGTCGGTCGCATTTTGGCTAAACACCCCCCCCCCCCAAACAAAATCGTTATGTACGCCCCTGACTTTGTCAACACGAGAAAGAAAAGTCGAGTGGACCTTACCTCCGCCCCTCTCTCTCTCTAAAGAAACGAGCGTCAATCCTAGTAAAGACACCATTAGTAGTGACGATCGGTTCAAGCGGTTTAGGCATTTTTTGGACTTGTATAGACAGCACCACACGTTTTCTCAAGACAAAAGCTCATGTTGGACAGGCGACCCTACACCTTGTCACGTTCGGAACAATCGGGAAACTAAACCACACCACGTGACTAAACGACAGACCTTTTGATCTAAAGCGCACGCGTTATGAGAGGCATCTGGCGTGCGAATATTTAGACATAACCGTGTTAACATGGGTGATTTCAGGGATAGATAAAGAATCTATATCAAAAAATATCAACTCAAGTAAATATGTTAAAATGAACGAGGCTGTGCCAAGTTTGTTTGGTTTTTTTTTAAATTTATCGACGAGTGTTGATATTTTCTTATATCAAAAACTACGGAAGCGTATAGGGGTCATGCAAAATTTTATAGAACGTCTCGAGATCCTGCGATCCTGTGATACTTTCTCGAAATCCCGTGATCACCTGGTAATTTTCTCGAGATCTCAATTTAATCTTCTCGAAATCCCCTGATAATTTTCCTGAGATACTGACATCCTGTGTAAAATTTCTCGAGAATTCGAGTTAATGTTCTCGAGATATTGACATCCTATGTAAATTTTCTCGAGATACCGGGTTTATATAAAACTTTACATGATAGTATCTCCACGTTGTGAAGCCACCATTCGCCCAATACTTCGCACCAAATTTGATAAAAAAAAAAGTACTCTTAACATTTTTTACAAAAGGAAAACTGCTAACTAATGAAAGAATAAACGGACAATCGATAGGGTACCCATGATTTACACTAAATGTGAAATATGATTAAAATCGATAGGGTTCATCTTCTTATGGCCCCAATACTTCACACCAAATATGAAATTCAAAACCCCGCCACGTTAGATTTAATGTGTGAAGCTTTGAATTACAGACATGCTTGTTAAATTATTCCAATTTAATGTGTGGGCGACGTTTAATTGAAAATGTCATTTTTTGCATGGTTTTCAGACCATATCTTGTTTTATAATAAAGCTTCTGCTTCGGAGCAGATTTTAAATTAAAAATCTTGAAAAACTCTGGGCTCTAACGCGTTCACAAGGTTTACCGGAAAATAGGAATTTTAACGATAGCCACGCAAAGTGTGGAGATACGCCCACGCAGCATCTATGCCTTAACAGCAAATTATGCAAAGGAAAACTTGGTTGTTTAATAAATTGAATAAGGATCTAGCATTCATCAAGAAATTCAATCTTTATCGTGTTCACGTGCTTGTTATATCTCTAGGACAGAAAACCTTATATTGCTGAAAATTAACAGGGGTCAGTCATCTTTGTCGCGGAACACTGAATATCGAAAATCATTTAAAAACGAGGTTTTTAAAGAATGGAGAGTATAACTCCGGAACGGAAGATCGCTAACCATTGAATATGAATGACCCCAAAGCTTCACACAAAATTGTAAAAGCGAAACCTCTATGACGTGAACAAGGCTTCCGGGGAGGTGAAGGGTGTGTGTGTGTGTGGGGGGGGGGGGTATATTACGGAACAGAAAGTCAAAGAATGCTGTATATCGATAGGGTCCTTCCTCTCATCGTCACATTTGAAAAAAATACGGACAAAGAGGGTAACACTCGAACAGAAGTTTGCTAAGTACTGAAAATCGAGAGGTCCTAGTGATTCAAACCACATTTGAAAAACAAAATCAGTTAAAAACTGTAGGCTCTATTGGGTTAACAATTTTTTCGGAAAAGGTGGACAACTCCAGAACGACAAGGTGCGCTAGAAGCGACAGGGACCGCCCTCCCATGGCACCAATGCTTTACACTAAATTTGAAACAAATCCGTTAAAATCTGTAGGCTCTGTCGTGCTATTAAGGTTTTTGGGAAAGTGTTGTGGGGGGGGGGGGGTAAACTACGAAACGACTGGTTGTGGGGCGCTGAGAATACGTTAAATCTACGCGCACGCATAAAAACACCCGAGATCTCGAGAAAATTTACATAGGATGGCAAGATCCCGAGAAAGTTAACTCGAATTCTCGAGATCGTTAACACAGGATGGGAGATTCTCGAGAAAATTATTAGGCGATTTCGAGAACATTAAGTTGAGATCTCGAGAAAGTATCACAGGATCGCAGGATCTCGAGGTCTTCTACAAAATACGCTTCCGTAAAAAACGATGAGTAGAAGATTTTATTAATCACGCAACCCTTTCTTACACGCCCAAATGAATAAATAAATAAATAAATAAATAAATAAATAAATAAATAAATAAATATAATTCTTTAGTGTAGATTTTGTTTCATGTTAAGGTATGAAAGTTGCCACGCATGCGATATCTACTGTAGACTGTGATAATATATGGTGTATATAACGTCTACTCAACACAAACTCGGCCATTTCGGGACTAACACATGGTCCAATTATATTTCAAAAATTCGCTTGCGCGTAGGGGTCTTTAGCAGTGGGAGGAAACCGGAGGACCCGGAGAAAATCGCACCCACGCCAGTTGACTCAATGACAGACCTTATGATACAACACGCACGTGCTAACCATTCGGCCATCCAAACCCCCTTTCCTGACACACACACACACACACACACACACGTGACTATGGTAAATAAAAACAAACCGTATGTTACTCTCGTGGTTTTCTAATCTAATTATAAAGTCGTTAGCTACAAAACAATTCTTGCTACAGATTGAATTAAATTTATAATATGACGTAATCAATTGCACAGTAACTGGTTGAAACTAGTTCAAGTTGTGGGAATTCCCGTTATGTATTATTTATGAATGTGTTTTCTCTCTAGGTTTAACTATATATATATATAAAACCAGTCTGACCAGTAGATTATATTATGTATAAAAAAGACCAGTCTGACGAGTAAATTATATTATGACATTATACACGTAAACGTGAAGTGAAACTTAAAATTAAAGAGGCATTATTCCAGAGTTATATCTGCTTATTGCAGGCCTTTCTTTGGGCCTTAAATATTATATAAACTATTAATTAGACATTTGTTTACATGACAAGTTCATAATCGATTCTCTAGACCATCGGGTGGCCCCGAGTTTATGTAGATTAGAACGGTTCTGCCATTTAATGATTTAATTTAAAAATTACGATTACAAACAATGAATGCACACAACTTGTCAAAACTACAAACATTGATAACTTCGCTCAGAATACAGTAATTTGAATGACATTTTCAATATATTTTCATGTATTTTGCATTATCTGTTTTTGGAAATATTATAGCAGGAACGGGCAAATTTGCGCAATGGACATCCACCCCCTTCATCTTATATTAAATTTTTGACGTCCGTAGATCGAGTTTACGGTCTAGTCTAAACAGAATTACTAACACAGAAATCCAGAAATATAGAATTTTATCACACCAAGGATCAAAATAAGTAATCTTCAAGCAAGAGGTTGTCTAACGCATAGACCTGTTAATTGTGCAAGTCGTGGACGTGACCCCACGCTTGTCCGTGAACAGAGGTCAGAAGTAGAGTAGCCTAGCCTCTTGGCCCATCATTCGAACGACAAGCCACATTTTCTTTCTTATCCCTGCGTGCTGAGATGTGGGGACTGAACCTAACATACGCCCACCACACCCGGTTTCGAATCCCAGGTTGTACGTGACAAGGAGTAGGATTGTCTGTCCAACCTCGTAGGTTTTCTCCGGGTCCTCCGGTCCCCCCCCCCCCACACACACACTGTTGAAGACCCCTACGCGCAAGCGAATTATTGAAATAAAGTTAAACCATATGTTCGTCCCGAGGTGACCTGGTCTGTGTCGAGTGGACGTTAAACCCCATTTCTCTCTCTCCCATCACACCCACTGATAGTATTTATTGTTATAAAATGTTTTATGTATATATTATAATATATTATTCAGAACGTAACCAACAACATGTATACTTCAAACATTACATACCATGTTAACGGTGATGGTGTCGGGGTACAGATTGGAAACGGTAATAGTTTCCAACAGACCAATCAACTTCAAGAAGAGGTAGTTGACCTGCGGGAAGAGGTAGGTGAATTAAAAGACCAAGTCCGGCAACTGAAGGAAAGAATGGCCGCGTTAGAAAATAATAATGATGATACAAACACTGAGGAACCAGAATATCAGATGGATGACGAGGAGAAGGATATGATTACTCTTAAGATCTGTAGTCAGTAAGTATAAACTATGATTTACAATATAATATAGCTGTACTAGTAGATATATCTCGATATATTACAGTATATACTACATGTTATACAATATATTTAACTGGTATTACAGTGATGTGTATAAAATGGTACCTGTATTATATTTACATATATCTGTAGGTGTTTTAACAATTTTAACATATTTACCTGTATCTATAGAGGTAGGTATTATAATATAATATTTTACCTGTATTTACAATAGTAGGTATAATATAATATATATTTACCTGTATTTACAGTGGTGGTAGAGGTAAGATGACTATAAGTGTTAGTAAAGATAAACCTGTAAGTCAACTAGTATCTATAATAAAGGAGGAGTATAGAAGGAAGTGTGGTAGAGATGTTGGTGTTCCTTGTCTTACTAGTATCTACAGTTTAAAACAGATGAAGATGATCTACCACCGTTACAACAACAACAGCGATCTACCATTATCACATCATGATGTAGGTGATGGTGATACAGTCTACTGGCGGTAGTTTGTTTGATTATAAAACAGGAAGAGTTTATATACATATATGTCTTGTTTTATGTACTGATATTTATACAATCCCATGTATACGTAATCACAATGTCATATTATAATGGATATTTTATATTTTGTATTCAGTTTATTGTGAACTCTCTGGAGAGTGCCGGGGGAACTGCACAAAAAAACACAGATAAAACAGCAAGAACAATTAGATACATATGCCAGTACATGTGGTCTTACGTCGGGTGGGGTAGGGTGTGGGTTGTCAAAGAAAGAATTAGAAACATATTCTCATATATGTTGTCGAAATAATTAGATACATAATCCAATACATGTGGTCCTAGCTGTGTGGGGTGCAAAACACAGCTTAGACATGGGCCTGAGGGGGTGGGGGCAGGACAAGGGCCCCGCGGTTCATGGCAAAAAGAGAACAAATTCAAATTCCAGATGAAAGTTTCACGTTAATCGCCGTTATATGTCATTTCCGCTCATTGTATGCCGTTTGGAACTGAATAGATTTCGTATGTAATTATTCTTGTATTACAAACCGTTTAATTGTGTGCTACGCATGCGTGCCATTCAAAAGGATGTAAAATAATCTACACGTTGCGTTAGGGGCCCCTTGATTCTAGTCAGACCCAAGGCCCCGCCCCGGTTAAGCTGGGCTTTGGTGGGGTGTCAGAGAAAATAAATTAGATATATGTGGTAGCCTAATGGACGGGTGATTGTGACCCCTGATCTTATGTCAGAGATTGTACAAGAATAATTCGATACATATATTCATATACATCTGGTCCTAGGTGACAGGCGTTAGTACGACTAACTTACGAGTTTTATTATATATCATTTTAAAAATTGATCTAATGACTATTCCGTGGCTTATTTAGCAGGTGCACTGTGCGGATGTGTGGGTATGGGGCGATATGGTGTGGTCGGATTATTGTAATGCAACACGCCTGATATCTAATTCGTGATCTCGTATACGAGGTTGTTAAAAACGAAAGGAGATGAATATAAAAAAAAAATCTTTAGACAATGAGTGCGAATTATCAACATTCTGAATTTCACGATATATAGAAGTGTTGAATATAAATGTTTCAGTGTATGTATTATTGTTTGTCTTTTATGAAATATTGAAAGCCACCATAATGGCCCCCCGCAATCTTTATAGATCTAAATATTACCATTTTACCCAAGTTGATTCACATCAGATGATTTATTCCTTATTTGTCATCGAACTAAATTGAGACACGTTTCACGATAATGGCTCTGAAGAAGAACTTTAGGGATTATCGAGTCGGCTCCTGTTTGTCATAGGTGACATGGTTATTATATAAAGTGAGCTTAGTTCTTCGGAAGAAACGAAAACCCATAGACGAAAATGATGTGTTGTGAAGTTGAAACATATGACGTGATCTTCAGAATATCTACATTGATCTATATAGTAAATACACGAGTATCCCGAGAGAGAGAGAGAGAGAGAGAGAAAGAGAGAGAGAGAGAGAGAGAGAGGAGGATGGGATTTAAAGTCTCCTCGACACAAACTAGGTCATTTCGAGACTAACATTTGTTTCAATTTTATTAAAAGGGAACCCCCACCCACCCAGAAAAAACACTATTATAATATGCACAATTTGTAGATGCTTAAACTATCTTGCCCAACAAATGTCCTCCACCAGACTTGGGTAACCCCATAAATAAATCCTGGAAAGGGACCTAAGATTAACTGGATAGTGTAAAACCAACTGGCCTCTGATCTACCGTTTTGACCAGAGGGTACATGCATGTTAAAACTTGTTAGTTTAAATCTAATAAAACCTGTATGGTAAAACCTCCCGAAACCCTGTATAGTAAAAACATCTAAAAAATGTATGGTAAAGCCGTTAACAGGTACGGCACGGTTCATTGTTTTTATTGTGTAGACAGGTCAAACATAAGCGTGCCGTGACTGGTACCGTACCAATCTGGCCCACTGAAGTGAGGTAGTCTCGGCACAGTACCAGGCACGACACACTTAAATTTTCATAGTGTAATTAAACGCTAACCGGTCTGAGAACGAGAACGGTTTTAGTACGGATTACTGTGCATGCCCCAAATGAACCTGTCAAAATGGATGTCCAAATTAAATCAATCGCCATAATTGTTGTCATACTTTTCTGTGAAGAGTTCCACATTTGCCTGGCACGGTTCCGAGGCTGGTTATTTTAAAGTAATGTAAACGCGTCAATTTCTTGAAATGTATTGCGTCCTGATACCGTGCCGTTCTCGGCACGCTTATCGCGGCCATGCATAAACAGGGATTATGTGTCAGAAATTGTTGAAAATCAAGGGCCATTACTCTGACAATAGGAGACAAGGCATATTGTTATAATTTCCATTTAATAAATTATCACAGTAAATCAAGTACCTGTACAATGTTTCTCTAATATAAATAGGAGACAAAGCACAAAGGGTAATAACTCTGGCAATATAAGACATGGCACATTGTTATAATTTCCATTCAATAATTCTCACACACAGTATATCAAACATAATCATATTAAAGTAGCTGTATCACCATACTCTAATTAATGATGAACAGAAAACTTTATCCATCACACAATGGAAATTTCAAGAAAGGAAATGAAATCGTGTTTTAACATTTTATTTTTCTGCACAGTGGTATACACAAGACAAACTGGTATACACCACATCACAGTCGTATACACAAGAAACACTGGTATATCCAGGAAGGACACCACTGAAAGAATATACACAGGGTTTCACTTGAATCAAATATTGTTTAAACTGGACAATAGCAATACATGTATATATCTTAAAATAATTCACATGGCTACCAGTTTGTAGAGTTGGGGCTGAACAGTGGGATGTTAAATCCCATTTCATTTCACCAGTTTGTAGCCTCTTTTGACCAGACCCTATCTATTTGAGAAACATCCTGGGTGATCAACTATTCAGTACATTACACATATATGACTGGTTACAATCATAATTTATGCAGAAAAACAATGACTGGCATCAGAAAAGGAAATGTATGTCAGCAGCTGGTTTTCTCCTCAAATTGGTCAAGAAAGATCCTCTGATGCAGGACAGTGAGTCTTGTCAACGACAATGCATCTAGTCGTTCGACAGGAAACCACATCAGCGCACATATTGATGAATCTTCAACAGTTTGAAGAAAATGGTTGAAACACTGCTGTCAAAGACAAAAAAGTTCCCTCACAGCACACTGCATTGAGTATGACTATCTCTATTATTGGTGCAGTAGGACATTAAACCTCATTTCCCAGCATGGCAGCATTTCTTCTAGGGTTAGGGACGGTTAGGGCTGGTATTCTCCAAGTAAACACTGAACACGAGTGTAATTTACCATGACCATTAGAACCATGGATAGTAATAAAGGCAATGGTGAAATAACTTATTTAAGAGTTTGAGGTTGTTATGGTTGTGAGGAAATCTGAAATCATCTTTTCGATCCAATTTTCCTCGAAGTTCCCAGTTTTTTACTTGTTTTTTCTTCCATCATTTGAGCTATGTATTGTTCTTGTTGTTTTTCAACATCAATTTCCCCGACTTTCTGTTTGTATTTATGACTTTGTTCCATCAACAGATTTCGTAACCTTTTTATTTCCTCATCTTTATCTTGTATGTTGACTTCTTGATTTTTACACCTTGTCTTTGTTTCTGTAAAAGAATGAAAATAAATAAACAGATTGGAGATTATTATCTTCTCAACATAATACAAACTAAAACAAGTGGTTGCCATGCAAGATAAGCCCACATTTTGCAAAAGATGGACAGAGAATAGATAAAAAAAAAAAAAAATTTCGTACTATCAGTGTCCATAATGAAGAATGTTACTGTCCAACCTGTGTCGATATCGTTAGGAACCAAGATCTTTGGGACAAATATTAAGTTTCATCAAAATCTAATAAAAGTTGTGACCTGTAGGGGTCCACAAAATGAGAGGGTTTAAGGTTTAAGGGTTTAAGGTCCACCTGACACAAACTAGGTCATTTTGGGACTAACATTTCAATAATTTGCTTGCGCATAGGTGTCTGTAGCAGTGGGAGGAAACCGGAAGACCCGGAGAAAATCCCACGAGGTTGGATAGACCATACTCCTTGTCACGTATAACCAGGGAATCGTAACCACGCCAGATGACTCAATGACAGACCTTATGATACAATGTGCACATGCTAACCATTCGGCCATCCAACCCCCCAGGTACATGAATGGACCACGCTTTTATGTCCCATCTGCAGGACTTGACATAATTTCTTTGTTGGCCTTGCAGGTGCCACCCCTGATAAAATCACAGAGGTTCTACATGACAAGGAGTAGGGTCGCCTGTCCAACCTAATGGGTTTTTCTCTGGGTTCTCTAGTTTCGTCACACTGCTATAGACCCCTACACGATAGCAATTTACTGAAATAAAATTGAACCATATGCCAGTCCCGAAATGACATAGTTTGTGTCAATCAAAATGGCCGTCCCTCGTTCACAATTTTCTACTGATTGTGATGAAACTTGAAATGTAAGTTTATAACCCAACGATCTTGGTTACTTTCGATATTTGCGCATATCGGACTGTAACTTCCTGAATTATGGCCCCTGATTGTACGAAAAATCGCTTTTTGTTTTGCTTGTTCTCTATCCATCTCTTGCAAAATGTGGGCGTATCCTGCCTGGCTAGGGTTCCCAACCGTTTTCATCCCATTTACTACGGGTAACTTTTGGAAATTCCTCATTACAGCACACCAAATGTTATTGAGGAGCTTTTTCGACCAATACATCTGGGATTTTGAGGTTAGTGAGTCTTCGCCTTACTCACTGCGGCTCCCAAAAATCAATCAAATTACTGTAGTACAGTATGGTGGGTTAACTAGCTAGTAACTCCTATCTACATGTAGGTGTTGTGATGTAAATCAAAGTAAGTCATGTGATTTATAATATATATTATATTTTTACCTGTCCATTTTGATTCAATATCTTTCTGTCTGTTTGACATCTGTACTGTTTTACCTGAAAACAAATCCAATCATATTCATTTGGTACCAAGACCCAATCATTCTCTCAAGCTGTACCAAGAAGACCCAATCATATTCATTGTTTCAAATCAAGACCCAATCATATTCATTCTCTCAAACTGTACCAAGAAGACCCAATCATATTCATTGTTTCAAATCAAGACCCAATCATATTCATTCTCTCAAATGGTATTAAAACACAATAATATTCATTGTTTCAAATGATACCAAGACCCAATCACATTCATTGTTTCAAATGGTCAAGACTCAACAATGTTCATTGTTTCAAATGATATCAAGATTCAAGACCCAATCATATTCATCCTCTCAAATTGTACTATGGTTGAAATGTATAAGGGTTCTGTAACTACTGTGACATACCCCCTGATACTCTATGGACACGAATCATGGATTCCTGAATATCATGTTTTTGTGGAACCTAATGACCAAATTATACTTACGAAGCCTCAAATGAAAGCTTTTCTCGTTCTAGTTGTTTGGTGAGAATCTCTATTTCACCAAGTGAAAACTCCAGTTTATCGGTAACCTCTGTTAATTTGTTACGTGTTCTTGTTGACGTCCATTTGACACAAACTAGGTCATTTCGGAACTAACATATGGTTCAATTTTATTTCCATAATTCGCTTGCGCGTAGGGGTCTTTAGCAGTGGTAGGACACCGGAGGACCGGAGAAAACCCACGTACTACTTGTCACGTACAACCAGGGAATCGAAACCACGCCAGTTGACTCAATGACAGACCTTATGATACAGCGCGAACATGCTAACCATTCGGCCATCCAGCCCCGCCCCGCCTCTAATATTGAATATTCAAGCACTGGGATACATTGCAAGTGTGTCCATTGAATGAACTCCTGTAAGAGAGAGAGAGAGAGAGAGAGGGGGAGAGAGAGAGGGGGGGAGAGAACAAAACATTTACTGGACACTAATCGGGTCCCTTCGGTACTTACATATGCTGCATGTTTATTTCAATAGTCGTTTTTCAGCGGACGGGAAACCAAAAATAACCTATTGGTGTGGCAGTGAGCAATTAACAAACCTAACAATGTTGATCTAGACCTATAAAAGATGTATTTTGTAGGAGCTAAAATTTCCTATTACAGGTCTTTAGTTTGGTCTCAAATGGTTCATTAATCACTAAGGGGGGGGGGGGTAAATGGTTCGCGTGTGGGGCGTTTTTAATAAAGTCTGTCATTGAGTCAACTGGCATGGTTTCGAATGCCCGGTTGTACGTGACAAGGAGTAGGGTCACCTGCCCAACCTCGTGGGTTTTCTCTGGGTCCTCCGGTTTGCTCCCACTGCTAAAGACCCCTACACGCAAATGAATTGTTGAAATAAAATGAAACTATATCTTAGTTTGTGTTGAGTGGACGTTAAACCCTATTTGTCTCTGTCTCTCACATTAATCACATGTAGACATGTATTCACATGCCAAGTCCATCAACTCTCTGGGACATCGGAGGGAAAAATTGTGATTTTCAACGGATTTAAACCTGATCGACAGTTAGTAATGCAATTGAAGATTGGGTAATCGAGACTTTGTTTGTTAATACCATCAGGAAATTATTTAAAAATGAATGGAGTAAAATGAATGGTTAGGAAATGGGGTTTAATTTCTCGTAGACAAGCGCAATACTTTGGTAATTTTGTTTATTGTTTATTGTTATGGTTACTGGTATAATGCAGCTGTGTTTTGCCCGGATAGCAAAGTTTTCACCTGCTCGATCTTTTGTACGTTTACGCCAACGTGTCCAAAATGCACATGATGGGTTGATCTCATCATTTTTCTAACCTTGACATTTCTCTTTATCAATTATAATACTGACGTAATACATATTGTAGACTCTATTATCATATAAACACTTTTTATATCTGGAACTGTAGGTCTCAACAATCTAGGCTACAATGAAACTGAAATAGTTACTATAAATAAATGGGTTTTTCCATGAGGGGCTTCAAAAAATAAATACTTCCCGTTTGATTTGTGCAGCGTCGCCCAAGTTTTAGTGTCACAGAGCGAGTAGACATCGCTATAAGGTTGTAGTGTAGATAATTCAAGACACCTGGTTGACGTTTTTAACAACCCAAATCACATTATAAATGATGTCTAATCACGTGAGTACAACGTTATACATCAAATATAAATATCAATATTTAAAACTTGCTGTTTGTACTTGTGGAGCAGATGATCTACTTTTATCAACTGTTTATACGTCGAGTTTATTATACTAAAGTATCTAAAACTTTTAATTTTGAAATAGTTTAATTAAAGCAGAATGGAAATGGGTTGATATTGATATGCGATACTGTGACCAGGGGCCTGTTTCACGAAATTTTAACCCTTATCCTAAATCACAATCCACATATGACGTAATAACACCTGGCTCCAGTGGATGGAAAAAAACGCTTACCCATTCGTTAGTGTGAACTGCAAGGGTAGACAACTCTGTTTGGGAGATTGGCTCGTGCTGTGGGATTTCACGGTATTTGATTTTATACGCAATAGTAATATCATATCGTTGAGTGAAATAACTGAGTCAGTTACTATAAATAAATGGGTTTTTCAATAATGGGGTTCTCTATTTCCTGTTGTACAGCGCAGACTCACCCCTTTTCTTAGAACTAAAAGCTCTCTAACATCGATAGAAGACGGTTGTGTTATAGTTTAGGAGATATACCTGTGACCATATACAATATTATCTAATCAATATGTCTGATCAAGTGAGTACAGATATTAACTATCATTACACGATAGAAAAGTCGTATTTTCCGTTCACACAATTCTAGTAAAGACGCCATAAGTTGTGACGACCTTTTATAAGGGTTAAGGTACATTTATGTACAAGTTGATCCAACTCAAAAGAAAAGTTCGTGTTGGACAGCCTGATTCAAGCACTAAAATGACGTGTAAATACAGAGTTAACATGAGTCATTTCAGTGATAATATATGGGTATAATCTTCATTAATTAATAATCCTCTAAGATAGAAACCACGCCCCTTAACCCAATGACAGACCTTACGATCTAATACGTACCAGTTAGACCAATCACTCACTTCCCCGCCCGGGTGGATAGCCGAGTCGCATGCGCGCTATATAATAATGTCTGTCATTGAGTCAACTGGCATTGTTTCGATTTCCCGGTACGTGACAAGGAGTAAGGTCGCCTGTCCAACCTTGTGGGTTTTCTCCGGGTGACTGGGTCCTCCGGTTTCCCCCCACTGCAAAAGACCCCTACGCGCAAGCGATTTTTTAAAATATAATTGGACCATGTGTTAATCCCGAAATAACCTAGTTTGTATTGAGTCGACGTTACCCCCCCCCCCCCACCACCACCACCTCCTCTCTCTCAATCTCTCTCTCTCTTTGTAGATAAGTCAGTCAGTCAGTCAATGCAATATAAGTCCATATTTTAGTGGATCATTGTTTTATTGTGAAAAGTTGAGTATAGCAACTGGTCCTCAACTTTCAGATCGCAAGTTATTTAGGACATAGAATAACTTGGAACGAGATTTACCGTTACATGTTTATAAGTTTAGTTTAAACACTAATACTGATAAAATTATACACCCAGTATAGATCTACCTTGACATTCAACAAGCTCGTACTGTGGGAATTCCCGATATTATCACGCTTAGTCAGTTACTATAAATAGATTGGTTTTTCCATAATGGGGACCACAAAAAATTATTTACCTTTTATTTAGCACAGCCTCGCCCATTTTCTAAGAACCATACAAGCCCCCTAATATCGATAGAAGGCGGCTGTGTTGTAATTTAGGGGATATAGCTGTGTTTATTTACAATTATTTACAGTACAGATATTAACGTTGTCCAGGGGCGTAAATGTGGGGGGGGGGTACCCCCCCCCCCCCCCCCAGGAAAAACAATAGTCGGTCGCAAAATCAGTGCAGTCGGTCGCAAAATAAGAGCAGTCGGTATCAAAATAAGTGCTCACTGCACACGTCACGCTACTCACGCAAAACTTTAGTATAAAATAACCATGTCAACTTATCATGTTTGAAAAAATGATGTGTTTCACTGTTATTCTGTTGTGAGTATGTAGGTCTAAGAACAAAATTTCCCCCAGGTGGAAAAATAGTCGGTCTCAAAATAAGTGCAGCCACTGCAGTCGGTCTCAAAAGCATGCATCGCTGTCTTAATGAATTAATGAGATAAACATATAATGCCAGAAAAGATCCCAAATACTAGTCGGTCGCAAAATCAGTGCAGTCGGTCGTAAGATATGAGCAGTCGGTATCAAAATAAGTGCTCACTGCACACGTCACTCTACTCACGCAAAACTTTAGTATAAAATAACCTTGTCAACTTATCATGTTTAAAAAAATGTTTTTCGCCCTATGGCAAAAAAATAGTCGGTCTCAAAAACAAAGTGCTCACCGCAGTCGGTCTCAGACTAAATGAATTAATGGAGTGTTTTCTGACCATCAGAATTCTGCAAAATCTCTCCCCAAAGTCCAGGGCATTTCAGAGACCAAGTAAGCGCCCCATTGAGGTAAAGTGCCCTCAGGCCCAGTCCTCAAAAATTAAAAGCTCAGTTACATATCGGCGCTCAATTCCATTATGCCACCATTCTTCAACTTCTTCTCTGTCTTATACTATCTCATCACTATCATATTCACAGTTACAGTGAATCGCCCAGTTAGTAGTACGAATAGTGAGTGAGTCGTGGTTCAAAAGACTGTAGAATTGTTAGTTCTACTCTCACAAAACAGGCGACATTGACAGATAGGCCTCAAGATTCTGTCCCATTTCTTATCCTCTCGTTAACGAGAATTTGGATCCATTTGCCATGACATTAAATAAAATTGTCAGGCCCAGTCCCAAAAATTAAAAGCTCGGTTACACATCTGAATTTTTTTCGCGCCTGCGGCGCTCGATTCCATTATAACATCATTGTTCCACTTCTCTGTTGTCTTATACTGTCTCAGCACTATCATATTCACGGTTATACTGATCTGCCTAGTTATGTTAGTAGTACCACTGGCACTGTTCTGTGGGGCGTCAGCCTATACAAAAGTTCTGTCAACTCTTGCAAAACAGGCGGAATTGACAGGGGCAGATCTCGAGATTTTTTCTAATTGACTACTGCACATGGCCCCTACAAAACTCGCACCTGTGGTGCTCAGCTCCTGACTGCGTCACTCGTACTAGGATTATGGGCATCAGTCGGTCGCATTTTGGCTAAACACCCCCCCCCCCCAAACAAAATCGTTATGTACGCCCCTGACTTTGTCAACACGAGAAAGAAAAGTCGAGTGGACCTTACCTCCGCCCCTCTCTCTCTCTAAAGAAACGAGCGTCAATCCTAGTAAAGACACCATTAGTAGTGACGATCGGTTCAAGCGGTTTAGGCATTTTTTGGACTTGTATAGACAGCACCACACGTTTTCTCAAGATAAAAGCTCATGTTGGACAGGCGACCCTACACCATGTCACGTTCGGAACAATCGGGAAACTAAACCACACCACGTGACTAAACGACAGACCTTTTGATCTAAAGCGCACGCGTTATGAGAGGCATCTGGCGTGCGAATATTTAGACATAACCGTGTTAACATGGGTGATTTCAGGGATAGATAAAGAATCTATATCAAAAAATATCAACTCAAGTAAATATGTTAAAATGAACGAGGCTGTGCCAAGTTTGTTTGGTTTTTTTTTAAATTTATCGACGAGTGTTGATATTTTCTTATATCAAAAACTACGGAAGCGTATAGGGGTCATGCAAAATTTTATAGAACGTCTCGAGATCCTGCGATCCTGTGATACTTTCTCGAAATCCCGTGATCACCTGGTAATTTTCTCGAGATCTCAATTTAATCTTCTCGAAATCCCCTGATAATTTTCCTGAGATACTGACATCCTGTGTAAAATTTCTCGAGAATTCGAGTTAATGTTCTCGAGATATTGACATCCTATGTAAATTTTCTCGAGATACCGGGTTTATATAAAACTTTACATGATAGTATCTCCACGTTGTGAAGCCACCATTCGCCCAATACTTCGCACCAAATTTGATAAAAAAAAAAGTACTCTTAACATTTTTTACAAAAGGAAAACTGCTAACTAATGAAAGAATAAACGGACAATCGATAGGGTACCCATGATTTACACTAAATGTGAAATATGATTAAAATCGATAGGGTTCATCTTCTTATGGCCCCAATACTTCACACCAAATATGAAATTCAAAACCCCGCCACGTTAGATTTAATGTGTGAAGCTTTGAATTACAGACATGCTTGTTAAATTATTCCAATTTAATGTGTGGGCGACGTTTAATTGAAAATGTCATTTTTTGCATGGTTTTCAGACCATATCTTGTTTTATAATAAAGCTTCTGCTTCGGAGCAGATTTTAAATTAAAAATCTTGAAAAACTCTGGGCTCTAACGCGTTCACAAGGTTTACCGGAAAATAGGAATTTTAACGATAGCCACGCAAAGTGTGGAGATACGCCCACGCAGCATCTATGCCTTAACAGCAAATTATGCAAAGGAAAACTTGGTTGTTTAATAAATTGAATAAGGATCTAGCATTCATCAAGAAATTCAATCTTTATCGTGTTCACGTGCTTGTTATATCTCTAGGACAGAAAACCTTATATTGCTGAAAATCAACAGGGGTCAGTCATCTTTGTCGCGGAACACTGAATATCGAAAATCATTTAAAAACGAGGTTTTTAAAGAATGGAGAGTATAACTCCGGAACGGAAGATCGCTAACCATTGAATATGAATGACCCCAAAGCTTCACACAAAATTGTAAAAGCGAAGCCTCTATGACGTGAACAAGGCTTCCGGGGAGGTGAAGGGTGTGTGTGTGTGTGTGGGGGGGGGGGGGGTATATTACGGAACAGAAAGTCAAAGAATGCTGTATATCGATAGGGTCCTTCCTCTCATCGTCACATTTGAAAAAAATACGGACAAAGAGGGTAACACTCGAACAGAAGTTTGCTAAGTACTGAAAATCGAGAGGTCCTAGTGATTCAAACCACATTTGAAAAACAAAATCAGTTAAAAACTGTAGGCTCTATTGGGTTAACAATTTTTTCGGAAAAGGTGGACAACTCCAGAACGACAAGGTGCGCTAGAAGCGACAGGGACCGCCCTCCCATGGCACCAATGCTTTACACTAAATTTGAAACAAATCCGTTAAAATCTGTAGGCTCTGTCGTGCTATTAAGGTTTTTGGGAAAGTGTTGTGGGGGGGGGGGGGGTAAACTACGAAACGACTGGTTGTGGGGCGCTGAGAATACGTTAAATCTACGCGCACGCATAAAAACACCCGAGATCTCGAGAAAATTTACATAGGATGGCAAGATCCCGAGAAAGTTAACTCGAATTCTCGAGATCGTTAACACAGGATGGGAGATTCTCGAGAAAATTATTAGGCGATTTCGAGAACATTAAGTTGAGATCTCGAGAAAGTATCACAGGATCGCAGGATCTCGAGGTCTTCTACAAAATTTTGCGTGACCCCTATACGCTTCCGTAAAAAACGATGAGTAGAAGATTTTATTAATCACGCAACCCTTTCTTACACGCCCAAATAAATAAATAAATTAATAAATAAATAAATAAATATAATTCTTTAGTGTAGATTTTGTTTCATGTAAAGGTATGAAAGTTGCCACGCATGCGATATCTACTGTAGACTGTGATAATATATGGTGTATATAACGTCTACTCAACACAAACTCGGCCATTTCGGGACTAACACATGGTCCAATTATATTTCAAAAATTCGCTTGCGCGTAGGGGTCTTTAGCAGTGGGAGGAAACCGGAGGACCCGGAGAAAATCGCACCCACGCCAGTTGACTCAATGACAGACCTCATGATACAACACGCACGTGCTAACCATTCGGCCATCCAAACCCCCTTTCCTGACACACACACACACACGTGACTATGGTAAATAAAAACAAACCGTATGTTACTCTCGTGGTTTTCTAATCTAATTATAAAGTCGTTAGCTACAAAACAATTCTTGCTACAGATTGAATTAAATTTATAATATGACGTAATCAATTGCACAGTAACTGGTTGAAACTAGTTCAAGTTGTGGGAATTCCCGTTATGTATTATTTATGAATGTGTTTTCTCTCTAGGTTTAACTATATATATATATAAAACCAGTCTGACCAGTAGATTATATTATGTATAAAAAAGACCAGTCTGACGAGTAAATTATATTATGACATTATACACGTAAACGTGAAGTGAAACTTAAAATTAAAGAGGCATTATTCCAGAGTTATATCTGCTTATTGCAGGCCTTTCTTTGGGCCTTAAATATTATATAAACTATTAATTAGACATTTGTTTACATGACAAGTTCATAATCGATTCTCTAGACCATCGGGTGGCCCCGAGTTTATGTAGATTAGAACGGTTCTGCCATTTAATGATTTAATTTAAAAATTACGATTACAAACAATGAATGCACACAACTTGTCAAAACTACAAACATTGATAACTTCGCTCAGAATACAGTAATTTGAATGACATTTTCAATATATTTTCATGTATTTTGCATTATCTGTTTTTGGAAATATTATAGCAGGAACGGGCAAATTTGCACAATGGACATCCACCCCCTTCATCTTATATTAAATTTTTGACGTCCGTAGATCGAGTTTACGGTCTAGTCTAAACAGAATTACTAACACAGAAATCCAGAAATATAGAATTTTATCACACCAAGGATCAAAATAAGTAATCTTCAAGCAAGAGGTTGTCTAACGCATAGACCTGTTAATTGTGCAAGTCGTGGACGTGACCCCACGCTTGTCCGTGAACAGAGGTCAGAAGTAGAGTAGCCTAGCCTCTTGGCCCATCATTCGAACGACAAGCCACATTTTCTTTCTTATCCCTGCGTGCTGAGATGTGGGGACTGAACCTAACATACGCCCACCACACCCGGTTTCGAATCCCAGGTTGTACGTGACAAGGAGTAGGATTGTCTGTCCAACCTCGTAGGTTTTCTCCGGGTCCTCCGGTTTCCCCCCCCCACACTGTTGAAGACCCCTACGCGCAAGCGAATTATTGAAATAAAGTTAAACCATATGTTCGTCCCGAGATGACCTGGTCTGTGTCGAGTGGACGTTAAACCCCATTTCTCTCTCTCCCATCACACCCACTGATAGTATTTATTGTTATAAAATGTTTTATGTATATATTATAATATATTATTCAGAACGTAACCAACAACATGTATACTTCAAACATTACATACCATGTTAACGGTGATGGTGTCGGGGTACAGATTGGAAACGGTAATAGTTTCCAACAGACCAATCAACTTCAAGAAGAGGTAGTTGACCTGCGGGAAGAGGTAGGTGAATTAAAAGACCAAGTCCGGCAACTGAAGGAAAGAATGGCCGCGTTAGAAAATAATAATGATGATACAAACACTGAGGAACCAGAATATCAGATGGATGACGAGGAGGAGGATATGATTACTCTTAAGATCATACGTTTGTAAGTATAAACTATGATTTATAATATACTATTCAAAAAAAGTAGGGGATATTTGATTTTTAAGTGTTATTAAAGTCACCTAATGAAACTGACGAAGAAACAAATGACAAAATGAAATGAAGTTCACATTCATCGATTTATTCTAAATGATCATTAGACTAAGTAAGGCACAGACTGACCATTATAAGGGTAAAATGATACCCGGGGTCAAACAGCAAAGTTACCACAGCATCACAACCAAGTCAGTAACGGGTAAATCCTCCTCTGTTTGCCAAACAAGCATTGATCCGACGTGGCATACTCCTAATGAGACGTCTAAGTTCATTTTGGTCCAGATTGTCCCATTCCTGTTTCAACGCAGCAGCAAGTTCTTGGACATTGGCAGGACGTTGTTGACGTTGACGTAACCTCTGTCCAAGCATGTCCCAGACATGCTCGATGGGGGAGAGGTCGGGACTCAGTGCTGGCCAAGGTAATGTGGTGATGTTCTGTTGTTGGAGGTAACCTGTAACGATCCTGGCCCTGTGACATCTTGCGTTGTCATCCTGGAAGATGAAACGGCGGCCATGACGTCGTGCGAACGGCACAACATGGACTGCCAAGATGTTGTCCCGGTAGTACTGGCCTGTAACACGCCCTGCAACAACATGTACAGCCGTTCTTCCAGCAACAGTGATGCCTCCCCACACCATAACAGAACCACCCCTAAATCGATCATGTCTGATGACGTTAACGTCTTGGAAGCGCTCGTTTCGACGACGCCACACCCTCCTACGTCTGTCCAAAAAATCAACAGTGAACCTTAACTCATCTGAAAACATCACATTGCTCCAGCGTCGATTATCCCAGTGTTGACGATCCCTACACCAACGACGTCTTGCCTGAATGTGATGATCTCTCAAACAAGGGATCACGCGAGGACGTCGGGCGCGAAGGTGAGCCCTATGCAGTCGATTCCGAATCGTCTGGCCACTCACTCTCACACCAGTGTCTGTTTGAAGACGAGCGCTGATCTGATTTGCTGTGATGACACGATTTTTCAAGGCCAAGGTACGGATAAATCGATCCTGGGCTTGAGTTGTCGCCCTTGGTCGACCTGAGCGTGGTCTGTCCTGTACAGATTGTGTATCACGGTATCTGGACCATAGCCTGCTTATGACAGACTGAGAAACATTCATCGTCCGCGCCACAACCGCCTGTGTTGTGCCGATCTGTAGCATGCCAAGGGCACGTAACCTTTCATTTTGGGTAAGCCGACGCATATCAAAATTTGTTTTCTGGTCACTAAAACAATTAAACTGATGTTTCCACCCTGGAATTCAATGCCACAATGACTGTAACATTCAAAGTCAGAGTCGTGCAAATCTTGGGTTGGACCCCCATGATGATCCCAAGCATCACATGCATTCCATGCGGTAGCTATTGGTGCGTTTGGGCGTCACATGTAACTGGAAATGTTTCTTCTGTTAGGTTCTATAGTGACTTTTTTCGTAGTCATTTGCATATTTTAGTATTATGCCTCCAAAATCAAATATCCCCTACTTTTTTTGAATAGTATATAATATAGCTGTACTAGTAGATATATCTCGATATATTACAGTATATACTACATGTTATACAATATATTTAACTGGTATTACAGTGATGTGTATAAAATGGTACCTGTATTATATTTACATATATCTGTAGGTGTTTTAACAATTTTAACATATTTACCTGTATCTATAGAGGTAGGTATTATAATATAATATATATTTACCTGTATTTACAATAGTAGGTATAATATATATTTACCTGTATTTACAGTGTTGGGTATGGTGAGATGACTATAAGGGTTAGTAGAGATAAACCTGTAAGTCAACTAGTATCTATAATAAAGGAGGAGGATAGAAGGAAGTATGGTAGAGATGTTGGTGTTCGTTGTACTTATACCTACAGGTTAAAACAGATGAAGATCATCTACGACTATAACAACAACAACAACAGCGATCTACCATTATCACATCATGATGTAGGTGATGGTGATACAGTCTTCTGGGGGTAGTTTGTTTGATTATAAAACAGGAAGAGTTTATATACATATATAAGTCTTGTTTTATGTACTGATATTTATACAATCCCATGTATACGTAATCACAATGTCATATTATAATGGATATTTTATATTTTGTATTCAGTTTATTGTGAACTCTCTGGAGAGTGCCGGGGGAACTGCACAAAAAAACACAGATAAAACAGCAAGAACAATTAGATACATATGCCAGTACATGTGGTCTTACGTCGGGTGGGGTAGGGTGTGGGTTGTCAAAGAAAGAATTAGAAACATATTCTCATATATGTTGTCGAAATAATTAGATACATAATCCAATACATGTGGTCCTAGCTGTGTGGGGTGCAAAACACAGCTTAGACATGGGCCTGAGGGGGTGGGGGCAGGACAAGGGCCCCGCGGTTCATGGCAAAAAGAGAACAAATTCAAATTCCAGATGAAAGTTTCACGTTAATCGCCGTTATATGTCATTTCCGCTCATTTTATGCCGTTTGGAACTGAATAGATTTCGTATGTAATTATTCTTGTATTACAAACCGTTTAATTGTGTGCTACGCATGCGTGCCATTCAAAAGGATGTAAAATAATCTATACGTTGCGTTAGGGGCCCCGTGATTCTAGTCAGACCCAAGGCCCCGCCCCGGTTAAGCTGGGCTTTGGTGGGGTGTCAGAGAAAATAAATTAGATATATGTGGTAGCCTAATGGACGGGTGATTGTGACCCCTGATCTTATGTCAGAGATTGTACAAGAATAATTCGATACATATATTCATATACATCTGGTCCTAGGTGACAGGCGTTAGTACGACTAACTTACGAGTTTTATTATATATCATTTTAAAAATTGATCTAATGACTATTCCGTGGCTTATTTAGCAGGTGCACTGTGCGGATGTGTGGGTATGGTGTGGTCGGATAATTGTAATGCAACACGCCTGATATTTAATTCGTGATCTCGTATACGAGGTTGTTAAAAACGAAAGGAGATGAATATAAAAAAAAATCTTTAGACAATCAGTGCGAATTATCAACATTCTGAATTTCACGATATATAGAAGTGTTGAATTTAAATGTTTCAGTGTATGTATTATTGTTTGTCTTTTAGGAAATATTGAAAGCCACCATGCCCCCCCCCCCAATCTTTATAGATCTACGATAATGGCTCTGAAGAAGAACTTTAGGGATTATCGAGTGAGCTCCTGTTTGTCATAGGTGACATGATTATTATATAAAGTGAGCTTAGTTCTTCGGAAGAAACGAAAACCCATAGACGAAAATGATGTGTTGTGAAGTTGAAACATATGACGTGATCTTCAGAATATCTACATTGATCTATATAGTAAATACACGAGTATCCCGAGAGAGAGAGAGAGAGAGAGAGAGAGAGAGAGAGAGAGAGAGGGGGGGGGTGGGATTTAAAGTCTCCTCGACACAAACTAGGTCATTTCGAGACTAACATGTGTTTCAATTTTATTAAAAGGGAACCCCCACCCACCCAGAAAAAACACTATTATAATATGCACAATTTGTAGATGCTTAAACTATCTTGCCCAACAAATGTCCTCCACCAGACTTGGGTAACCCCATAAATAAATCCTGGAAAGGGACCTAAGATTAACTGGATAGTGTAAAACCAACTGGCCTCTGATCTACCGTTTTGACCAGAGGGTACATGCATGTTAAAACTTGTTAGTTTAAATCTAATAAAACCTGTATGGTAAAACCTCCCGAAACCCTGTATAGTAAAAACATCTAAAAAATGTATGGTAAAGCCGTTAACAGGTACGGCACGGTTCATAGTTTTTATTGTGTAGACAGGTCAAACATAAGCGTGCCGTGACTGGTACCGTACCAATCTGGCCCACTGAAGTGAGGTAGTCTCGGCACAGTACCAGGCACGACACACTTAAATTTTCATAGTGTAATTAAACGCTAACCGGTCTGAGAATGAGAACGGTTTTAGTACGGATTACTGTGCATGCCCCAAATGAACCTGTCAAAATGGATGTCCAAACTAAATCAATCGCCATAATTGTTGTCATACTTTTCTGTGAAGAGTTCCACATTTGCCTGGCACGGTTCCGAGGCTGGTTATTTTAAAGTAATGTAAACACGTCAATTTCTTGAAATGTATTGCGTCCTGATACCGTGCCGTTCTCGGCACGCTTATCGCGGCCATGCATAAACAGGGATTATGTGTCAGAAATTGTTGAAAATCAAGGGCCATTACTCTGACAATAGGAGACAAGGCATATTGTTATAATTTCCATTTAATAAATTATCACAGTAAATCAAGTAGCTGTACAATGTTTCTCTAATATAAATAGGGGACAAAGCACAAAGGGTAATAACTCTGGCAATATAAGACATGGCACATTGTTATAATTTCCATTCAATAATTCTCACACACAGTATATCAAACATAATCATATAAATGTAGCTGTACCACCATACTCTAATTAATGATGAACAGAAAACTTTATCCATCACACAATGGAAATTTCAAGAAAGGAAATGAAATCGTGTTTTAACATTTTATTTTTCTGCACAGTGGTATACACAAGACAAACTGGTATACACCACATCACAATCGTATACACAAGAAACACTGGTATACACCAGGAAGGACACCATTGAAAGAATATACACAGGGTTTCACTTGAATCAAATATTGTTTAAACTGGACAATAGCAATACATGTATATATCTTAAAATAATTCACATGGCTACCAGTTTGTAGAGTTGGGGCTGAACAGTGGGATGTTAAATCCCATTTCATTTCACCAGTTTGTAGCCTTTTTTGACCAGACCCTATCTATTTGAGAAACATCCTGGGTGATCAACTATTCAGTACATTACACATATATGACTGGTGTCAATCATAATTTATGCAGAAAATCAATGACTGGCATCAGAAAAGGAAATGTATGTCAGCAGCTGGTTTTCTCCTCAAATTGGTCAAGAAAGATCCTCTGATGCAGGACAGTGAGTCTTGTCAACGACAATGCATCTAGTCGTTCGACAGGAAACCACATCAGCGCACATATTGATGAATCTTCAACAGTTTGAAGAAAATGGTTGAAACACTGCTGTCAAAAACAAAAAAGTTCCCTCACAGCACACTGCATTGAGTATGACTATCTCTATTATTGGTGCAGTAGGACATTAAACCTCATTTCCCAGCATGGCAGCATTTCTTCTAGGGTTAGGGTTAGGGCTGGTATTCTCCAAGTAAACACTGAACATGAGTGTAATTTACCATGACCATTAGAACCATGGATAGTAATAAAGGCAATGGTGAAATAACTTATTTAAGAGTTTGAGGTTGTTATGGTTGTGAGGAAATCTGAAATCATCTTTTCGATCCAATTTTCCTCGAAGTTCCCAGTTTTTTATTTGTTTTTTCTTCCATCATTTGAGCTATGTATTGTTCTTGTTGTTTTTCAACATCAATTTCCCCGACTTTCTGTTTGTATTTATGACTTTGTTCCATCAACAGATTTCGTAACCTTTTTATTTCCTCATCTTTATCTTGTATGTTGACTTCTTGATTTTTACACCTTGTCTTTGTTTCTGTAAAAGAATGAAAATAAATAAACAGATTGGAGATTATTATCTTCTCAACATAATACAAACTAAAACAAGTGGTTGCCATGCAAGATAAGCCCACATTTTGCAAAAGATGGACAAAGAATAGATAAAACAAAAATTTTTTTTCGTACTATCAGTGTCCATAATGAAGAATGTTACTGTCCAACCTGTGTCGATATCGTTAGGAACCAAGATCTTTGGGACAAATATTAAGTTTCATCAAAATCGAATAAAAATTGTGACCTGTAGGGGTCCACAAAATGTGAATTGACACACAGACGGACTTCCGCCTACTCTCCTTAGATTTACAACAGTCAAGCCAATGGGTACATGGAGAGAGAGAGAGAGAGACAGAGAGAGAGAGAGAGATGAAAAGGGTTTAAGGTCCACCTGACACAAACTAGGTCATTTTGGGACTAACATTTCAATAATTTGCTTGCGCATAGGTGTCTGTAGCAGTGGGAGGAAACCGGAAGACCCGGAGAAAATCCCACGAGGTTGGATAGACCATACTCCTTGTCACGTATAACCAGGGAATCGTAACCACGCCAGATGACTCAATGACAGACCTTATGATACAATGTGCACATGCTAACCATTCGGCCATCCAACCCCCCAGGTACATGAATGGACCACGCTTTTATGTTCCATCTGCAGGACTTGACATAATTTCCTTGTTGGCCTTGCAGGTGCAATCCCTGATAAAATTACACAGGTTCTACATGACAAGGAGTAGGGTCGCATGTCCAACCTCATTGGTTTTTCTCTGGGTTCTCTAGTTTCGTCACACTGCTAGAGACCCCTACACGCAAGCAAATTATTGAAATAAAATTGAACCATATGCTAGTCCCGAAGTGACCTAGTTTGTGTCAAACAAAGTAAGTCACATGATTCATAATATTATATTTTTACCTGTCCATTTTGATTCAATATCTTTCTGTCTGTTTGACATCTGTACTGTTTTATTCTTTAAACTGTTATACCTGAAAACAAATACACTCATATTCAAATGAAACCAAAACCCAATCATATTCATTCTCTCAAACTGTACCAAGAAGACCCAATCATATTCATTGTTTCAAATCAAGACCCAATCATATTTATTGTTTCAAATCAAGACCCAATCATATTCATTCGCTGAAATGGTATAACGACTCAATAATATTCATTGTTTCAAATTGTCAAGAACCAATCATGTTCATTGTTTCAAATGGTATCAAGATTCAAGGCCCAATCATATTCATCATCTCAAATTGTACTATGGTTGAAATGTATAAAGGGTTCTGTAACTACTGTGACATACCCCCTGATACTCTATGGACACGAATCATGGATTCCTGAATATCACGTTTTTGTGGAACCTAATAACCAAATTCTACTTACGAAGCCTCAAATGAAAGCTTTTCTCGTTCTAGTTGTTTGGTGAGAATCTCTATTTCACCAAGTGAAAACTCCAGTTTATCAGTAACCTCTGTTAATTTGTTCCGTGTTCTTGCATGTTCATATCTTTCTGTCTACAAATAAAATTGTTTCAACAAAAATATAAATCTATATTCATATTAACCTAAACACATCTAATATTGAAAATCCAAGCCAAGTTCAATCTACTATATACCTCTAGGCTTGATGAAAATCTGCTACGTTTTATATCTTCTCAGATTTGAGCAAACTCCTGTGTGATAAGGAGCATCGAGTGTTCATTTTTAATGTCAATAATTACTTAATTTTTCCCCACCATATATTTACAGGAATTTCAAAAAGTGAGAGAAATGGGGTTTAATATCCACTTGACACAAACTAGGTCATTTCAGGACTAACATATGGTTTAATTATATTTCAATAATTCGATTGCGCGTATGGGTCTTTAGCAGTGACAGGAAACCGGAGTACTCAGCGAAAATCCACGAGGTTGGACAGTTGATCCTACTCCTTGTCACATACAACCGGGGAATCAAAATCACACAGGACTTTTAACCGTGTGACCTTATAATATAAGGTAATATAAAATTGGGTTCTTATGATGTAAAATTAGCTATTAATATCCAGATATGTCACACCCGTTGAGCGCTCAGTTGTAGTTGAGAACACTACATGTATAATGTATATCTAAAGTCGTAATAAAAAAATAAATTTACCCAACGAAGAAATTGAACTGTCAGTCAAATATTTTACATGACAGGAAAACAGATATTTTTGGAGGATTGAGCGATATTGTTAGATTGTGAATTGAAACAACGATATATATATATACATATATAATGTTGTATAATAGTACTATATAGATCAGGAAACAGGCATGAAGTCACCATCATCATCATTTAATTGTGATGTCATATTAAAGTCAATCAATTGATATGCAATTATCCAAGGAATAAGCATGTCGTTTCATATCGATAGTACCGGAATTCATCTTTTTTCGAAGCACATCACCCCCAAGTAATGAAATGAAATAGGGTTTAATGTCCTACTGTTCTGCTGGGCTAATGAAGGCGGGCATGCCCCATACAGTATGCTATGAGGGAAATTTTGCCCAGGCAGTGGCACTATGGCCTACTCTTATATCAAATTCCTAACGCCAAGGGATCTTTTACGTGCACGTCATTGTGTACCTGGGACCTCGGTTTTCCGTACCATCCAAACGAGTAGACAGCTGTCCTTGTCAGGCCCTCCGTCCTGCACCACTGACAAGGGGAAACCACGTCGGAAAATCCTGTTGAACTTTCTCGGCTAATGCAGGGATCGAACACGTAACCTCCTGGCTAGCGAGCCAGCGTCTTACCCACTTAGCCACCGTGACTCCATCACCCCCAAGAAAAAGAACAACAACAAAATGAATAACGCAGAATAAAAATTTGTCTAGCCGAAATAATATTCAATGAGGAAATACTTGTCTATATACAAACCTGAATATAAGGCACCTGCCACAGACTTTGTCAGACACAAATTAGCATACAATGTTTATATTATTACAAACGTTGTCCAGACTTGTCATATATACTATTTCCCTACCTGTTACAGGTGCCCCATGTCCAGACTTGTATTATATACTACTTCCTTACCTGTTACAGGTGCTCTATGTCCAGACTTGTATTATATAGTATTTCCCTCTACCTGTTACAGGTGTCCCATGTCCAGACTTGTATTACATGTACATAGTATTTCCCTACCTGTTACAGGTGTCCCATGTCCAGACATGTACTATTTCCCTACCTGTTACAGGTGCCCTATGTCCAGACTTGTATACATACATACATGTACATATACTAACCTGTAGTTCTAATAAAATCTTTTCAAATTCTTCTTTAGGTACATATTTATCTTTTATGGTAGCCTTCAAATTAAAATAAAAACAGAGTATCGAGTTATTGAAAAAAACAAAACAGATTGTAGACCCTACTCTTTGTCATGTCATTGTGTGGTGTGGGATCCAAATCACAGCTTGCACAGATGACAAGACATAAAATCTGTAGTCTCCTGATTTAGACAAAAAATTGACCTTACCCCATTGCTTGCATACGCGGTGGACACATTAGCCGAAATCATTTGGGCGAATCGTTCGGCCATATCAATCGCGATTCGCTTCACCAGTCAATTGCATCACATTTCATTTCACATGATTAAACATGGTGGCGACCATGTTTTCAAACAATCACATGATTTCTCGATATGAGCGGATGGTGAGTGGTGATTGGCCAATGAATTCTATAATCGGGTGAATGCTTCGGCAAAGCAGACACACCAGGCAAATATATCAAACATGTTTGATTTGGGCGAATCATTCGGTCGAATGAGAGTGGGCACACTAAGCGAATTTCGACGCCGATTGATTCGGCCGAATCATTCAGCTAGTGTCCACCACTTTAGGTAAGAACAGTAAACTCAACAGAGCAACACTCTAATCCAGAAATCTATAAAAATACAAATTGCAACCTACAGTGGCTCAGTCAGTATGGTACGTGCTCACTGACTAGTTTTGTGGGTTCAATTCTAGTGTTGGTCAGGAAAGAGTCCTGGAATTTTTCAGAGTGAGCACCCCCACCCCCCAGCAAAAAAATTTTGACCCCTCCCCCCTGTGAAAAAATTGTCGACCATTAAAACAATAGATACACATTGTCTGTGAATTTTACAGCACCCCTGATAACACTTCCCGCCCACCGTCGTTGCTCTGAGCTAGTTACGGCCCTGTTCAGAGTGGTTTCCCCCTAGTCAGTGATGCCCTAAAGCAAAGACACAGACGTTGATACATAGATGTGCATGTAAAAGAACCAATGAAAGTTAGAATTCAAACTAAGAGATGGTCCTAGAGCTGCTGCCTTGGATAAATTTCCCTCATACTCACAGTCATAGCACCGTATATATTGTACATGTATGCACAGGAGGAGAAGGAGGTTAAACCTCCATTTCATTTCATTTATAATGTATACCATTCATTTCTCAATCTAGACTAGTTGAAATTAGATTACAACTGGTTACACATGTATTAACAAGGACGGCTCTAATATTATGGTACTACCAATATATCCACTAAACCAATCACTCTCTTTCAGGTATTAACAAGGACCAGAGAGAGAGAGAGAGAGAGAGAGAGAGAGAGTGAGTTTAAAGTCTACTCAAAACAAACTCGTTCATTTCAAATTTATTAAAAGGGACTAGGTTGGACAGGTTACCTTACCCCTTGTCACGTACAACAGGGGAATCGAAACCACGACAGTTGACTCAATGACAGACCTTATGGATACAATGCGCACGTGCTAACCATTCGGCCAGCCAACCCCTCATTGGGCTAATGATGACAGGCATATGCCATACAGTGTGCTATGAGTTGAGGGAAATTTTGCCCGTACAGCGGCACAATGGCCTACTCTTATATCAAATTTCAACTACAAGGGGATCTTTTACACGCACACCTGTTTTTCATCCCATCCGAATGACTACAGTGTCCTTTGCCAGGCCTCTATCCTACACCACTGATAAAAGGGGGAACCCTGATGAACTTTCTCGAACAATGCAGGGATCAAATAAGCACCTTCGGATTAGCGAGTCACCATGGCTCCCGTTCTAGTTATGGTCTGTCTTCATATAGTCTACCAATCTACCTGTAAATACCTAGTTATAGCCTGTCTTCATATAGTCTACCAATCTACCTGTAAATACCTAGTTATGGCCTGTCTTCATATAGTCTACCAATCTACCTGTAAATACCTAGTTATGGCCTGTCTTCATACCTGTAAATCTTTCATATTCTTCTTCTCATCTTCTCGAGTAAGCAAACTTTCTTGAAGAACAGATTTTTGATGACTGACCTATAAAATTATAATAAATAAATATACACATGTATGATGTTCAGATAACGAACATCAAACTGTCATGACGATTTACCTAGCTAATTAACACTAACTATAGATACTACCAAATACCACCACATACAGTAGGCCTACCTCATTATCGTGAAAAACTAACAGAATGGTTGAATTACTTTTAAATATCTTGGTATAAAATTAGTTTATGATTTAGTTGTCAGTTGGTGAAAAACTAACAGAATGGTTGAATTACTTATAAATATCCTACAGCATCTTGGTATAAACCTAGTTTATGATTTAGTTGTCAGTCGGTGCAGGACCGGACAATAAATGTCACAATAAAACATAGTCCTGCTATGCACTGGGCTGGGTACCAAGTCTTTAAAGACCCCTGTGTGTGCGCTAAAGCGGTGGACACATTAGCCGAATTATTCTTCACCTAATTTTATTTGGCCAAATGGGTGGACACGTACACTAGGCGCATGCTTCGTACGATCCACCAGTCGATTACATTACCTTTCACGTCATATGATTAAACATGGCGACAACCGTGTCTTTAAACAATCATGTAACTTCCCGATATGAGTGGATGATTGGCTAATCAATTCTATATTCGAGCGAATGTTTCTGCGAAGTGGACACACTAGGCGAATGTAATGCAAGCGAATATAAACATGTTTGATTGGGCGAACCATTCTGCCGAATGGAAATTTGGCTGAATGACAGTTGACACACAAGATGAATTTCGACTTTCGGCTAGTGTGTCCAAAACTGGAAATATGACAACATAATTACATATCATTGTCTGCGAGTGCGATATCACCCCCGGTGGAAATGGAACACCAAGAACAAAAACAAGATTTTGCAGCCTGATTTTGCATTCAGCATTGTACTTTCACTAGTAGTGTAAATTGTGCAAGACCTACGGCGGAGCTACGGCTAGACCAAATCATAGTCTACTTTGTTTGTTAATAATAGTTAATGTCTAGGCTATTAATAATATCTAAATATGATAAAATTGGTATACAGACAACTCATCCCAAAGACAATTCATCCCAAGAGAACTCATCCCAATATAAGACAAGTCATCCCAAGATAAAGACAACTCATCCCAACTTTAAAACATGGGTCGAGATATAAGACAAGTCATCCCAAGAAATAAGTGCTAGTTATATTTGTTTTAATACAATTTATTTCTTTGAAGACCATTCTGATTTTGTTGTAAAAATGTGTTATGTTGATATTGTTGTTTTAATATGATTGATATTGTTTTAAGTTGTTTTAAGCGCTCTGTATACTTAGAACTATCATAGCGTACATGTTTCAATTCTTTCTTTGAACCATACCTGTGACCGAAAATGTTGGCCCCAGTCGTGCTGAGTGTTTCCATATCATTGTCTGATAGAAATTCGTCAGAATATGACATATTCTTTTCTTATGTATGTGTTTCAGAAAAGCTAATATGTGGGGATGAGTTGTCTTCTAACTTGGGATGAGTTGTCTTATATTGGGATGAGTTGGAGGCAGACCACCATTAATTTCCCCATTGACTTCAATGTTAATTCTGGCCTATTTGCCCACCTCCAACTTTTCCCCAAATTTTCGTTGGGCTGAATGTTTTCCACTACAGACAGAGGAACAAATGGTCATGTCTTTGCACTAAAATTTGTATGAGGTTGACCACCAAAATTTTGAGATACACAAACTTGAAGAAGCATACTAAAAACATGTAACTAGTTGCCGTACATATCGCCGTAGCTAACCTGATAACCCTCTTATCCTTCCGCCTCAAAATCATGAATATTTACCAAAACCTGGCAGAAAATGTTAATTCAAACCCTCTTCATCCATTCTAGACCAAAAAATCAACACAAATGGGCATGCAAAAGGGGAGAAAAGAGAGAGAGAGAGAATTGCTATAAATAGACGAACTACAATTCGTGGGTACCGAGATGATGAAATTTAATGGTGGTCTGCCTCCAGTTGTCTTGGGATGAGTTGTCTTTGGGATGAGTTGTCAGGTATTCGATAAAATTGTAAACACAACAATCAACAAACTTACTTACATCGTCATTTAAACGTTGTAATTGTTCCATCTGTGTTTTGAATACATCTTGAATCTGCGCCTGTATAAGGACGTATGTTGGAAGATCTTTTGGGCTTTTCTTTGAATCGTTAATGGATGTTTTCATCGATAAATTGCAAACTTCAGAAATCGCTTCTTCGACTTCGGCCATTTTGAATTCACCGGGAGATTAATGCCGCGATTAACAAGCCTTTACTTGTCCGTATTTGTAAAGGGAGGCAAGAATGCTGAAATATTCTGGATGCAGACCACAAAATATTCATCACGCCATTTAAAACTTACTCCTCGCTGTGTTTCGTTTGATTAGAGCTAATCCCACTTACCACTGCTGTAATGGAAGCAAATTTCTATTCCAAATTATGAGTGGTCAATAGTCCGATTAACAACTAATAGCTTTAAACAGAGCTCCAAATTGGAACAAATATGTTTACATAACGTTACGTCATGACTCACCATTTTATTATGCCCAATTATCCAGGGCATAGCAGAATATTGGAGAAAAACTAATTGTGTGACAAACACGGATACAATGTAAACTATATTAATCTTTGAGAGGCATTTAGTAACTGGACAGAACAATAAACTATAACACATACTTATGGAAAAACAGCTGCTTGTGTATTTGGGCGACGTTTCGAAGAGTATTCTCTCAACGTTATCAAGCCAATTAACGTTATCAAGTTTAGAGTCACCTTCTTAAGGTCAGGCACAGAAAACCAATGCCCTGAATTCTTGACGTCAATGTGACACCCTTCATTAAAAAATCAACCCTTGATCTTACTGTGCTAAAAATTTACCGACCCGTGTCGAATTTATCTTTCATTTCGAAAATTATTGAAAAAATTGTCCTTAATCGTTTTAAATATCATTTGTGTGGAAACAATCTCCAAGAAAAATTTCAATCGGCATACAAAAACGACACAGCACGGAATCCGCCTCACTTTGTGTTCAGAATGATATCGTATGCAGTTTAGATCGGAAGAAACAGGTGTCGTTAGTTTTATTGGACTTGAGTGCGGCATTTGATACGAAAGATCAATCAATCCTCCTCGGGAGGCCTGAAACTCGATACGGTATATCCCGAGACGCACTGAAATGGTTTGAGTCTTATCTGAGTGGAAAACGACAGAGTATTGTTATTGACGCATCTGAATCAATGCCTTAAGCTCTTGATTTTGGTGTTCCCCAGGAATACGTATTGGGACCGGTTTTGTTCACTGCACCAATTGGAGATATCATATGTGAGATGGGTCTTAATTACCACCTCTATGAAGATGATAACATTGGCAAAATCTGACCCTATACTGACCTTTATGCCATTAAACTGTTAATAAATGCTTTTGTTATGTCATCGTTAGATTGTTGTAATTCATTATTGTATTCTCTTCCTAAGTCAGCTACAGAAAATCCAGAATAAAGCAGCTCGAATTGTATCTCTCACCAAACCATCTGACCATGTTACACCTGTTCTAAAACAGTTAGATTGGCTACTGGTTAATAAACGCATCATTCTCAAAATTAACACAATCACTTTCAACTGTTTAAACGATCCTTTGGCACCATCCTATTTATCCGATTTGATTAAAAAATATGTACCTTCTCGTTCCTTACGTTCATCTCATAAAAACCAACTTGTATGTCCAGTACAGTAGTCAAAAATGTGGTGAAAGCTTTTTCATACACAGCACCAAAAGAATGGAACAATTTGCCTCTGGAAGTCCAAAATAGTCCAAACTTGGCTATATTTAAATGACGTCTAAAACCCCTGTTTTTTTACCCCAAACGTTTGAACTATAATTTACATATAAATGCTCCACGTGCGCGCTGTATCACAAGGTCTGTCATTGAGTCAACTGGCGTGGTTTCGATTCCCCGGTTGTACGTGACAAGGAGTAGGGTCGCCTGTCCAACCTTGTGTGTTTTCTCCGGGTCCTCCGGTTTCCTAACACTGATAAAGACCCCTACGCGCAAGCGAATTATTGAAATAAAATTGAACCATGTGTTAGTCCGACGTTGAAATAAGCTGCCCAACCAAACTAGCCAACCGAACATGAAATCGACCGTGATGCTTGGATTTAAAAAGACAATTATTAATATCCAAAACAGTATCACGTATCTTATCTAAACGTTTATCAGGTATAGAAATTGAACCATGTTGATTTTTCGACATTGGGAACAAATCCACTATCAATTAGATCTTTTTTAATCTGAGAACTAACCAAGGTAGCCTCTTCCTCATCCTGTGAAGTTCCAAATCCGTCGTCCAAATACATAACTACAAATTTTCCCTCGCCTCTCCATTTAGCTATTAGAGGTTGTGTAATTTTAGTGAATACATAAGGCGCTGAACTAAGGCCAAATGGTAAAACAAGAAATTTAAAATATTTACAAACACCATTAAATATCCACGAGAACCCCAAAAAAGATGTATGAAGCGGATATATGTCAATATGATGATAAGCCGAATGGATGTCGCAATTAAACAACCAAGAATTAGGTTTCAGATAAGATAATGCAATACGAACATCCTCAAATTTAACAGATTGTTTCCATATAAATTTATTAACATGTCTCAAATGTAGAATAAGACATTTTTTGCCCGAAGTTTGTATTGATACCGATAAACGATTAATTACACAGGGTAAATTATCATCACTACATTCAAAAATAAGACCTCTAGTATTTAAATCTGAAATTCAGAATGATTTAATGCTGAACGATTGTTCTTAAAATGTGCAGGAAATGGTTCAGAATAAAATGAGATTTTATAACCGTTTGAGATTACATCTAAAACAAAATCACTAGATTCGAGGTTTCTCCAAAATTGTTCATTTGTTTTAAGCCGCCCTTTAACAATAATGTCACATTGACCTTGCTCATAATCATAAAAATCGTCCGTAAAATACTCATCTTTAATCACGTCAGAGGGTTGAACAGATTTATTTTCTGTTTGAAGTTGCAGTTGATGGGTCTTTTGTGTAAGGGCATGCTTTGCGAAAATGTCCGAATTCTCCGCAAGAATAGCAGCTTCCACCGGATCTTGAATTGGTTTGGGGACGAAAAAAACGAAACCCCTGTCCGTAATTGTTACTGTTTGCATTTCCACCGTATGACGGATATCCACCATACAAATAAGGAGATTAACGAACATTGAAAAAACGATCAGACCCTTCATTCCTGGATAGCAAACTAGAGTTGGTGTTAAACTTATGCATAGACGTGGAAGATTTCTGCTTAGTTTGTTGCTTGCGTTTAACAACCTGGATAGCACGACTCTCGGCCTTTTTGATTCTGGTCTCATCATCAGAATCACTAGCAAGGGGGTTAGTACTATTCAAAAAAAGTAGGGGATATTTGATTTTTAAGTGTTATTAAAGTCACCTAATGAAACTGACGAAGAAACAAATGACAAAATGAAATGAAGTTCACATTCATCGTTTTATTCCAAATGATCGTTAGACTAAGTAAGGCACAGACTGACCATTATAAGGGTAAATGATACCCGGGGTCAAACAGCAAAGTTACCACAGCATCACAACCAAGTCAGTAACGGGTAAATCCTCCTCTGTTTGCCAAACAAGCATTGACCCGATGTGGCATACTCCTAATGAGACGTCTAAGGTCATTTTGGTCCAGATTGTCCCATTCCTGTTGCAACGCAGCAGCAAGTTCTTGGACATTGACGTTGACGTAACCTCTGTCCAAGCATGTCCCAGACATGCTCGATGGGGGAGAGGTCGGGACTCAGTGCTGGCCAAGGTAATGTGGTGATGTTCTGTTGTTGGAGGTTAGCTGTAACGATCCTGGCCCTGTGACATCTTGCGTTGTCATCCTGGAAGATGAAACGGCGGCCATGACGTCGTGCGAACGGCACAACATGGACTGCCAAGATGTTGTCCCGGTAGTACTGGCCTGTAACACGCCCTGCAACAACATGTAAAGCCGTTCTTCCAGCAACAGTGATGCCTCCCCACACCATAACAGAACCACCCCCAAATCGATCATGTCTGATGACGTTAACGTCTTGGAAGCGCTCGTTTCGACGACGCCACACCCTCCTACGTCTGTCCAAAAAATCAACAGTGAACCTTGACTCATCTGAAAACATCACATTGGTCCAGCGTCGATTATCCCAGTGTTGACGATCCCTACACCAACGACGTCTTGCCTGAATGTGATGATCTCTCAAACAAGGGATCACGCGAGGACGTCGGGCGCGAAGGTGACCCCTATGCAGTCGATTCCGAATCGTCTGGCCACTCACTCTCACACCAGTGTCTGTTTGAAGACGAGCGCTGATCTGATTTGCTGTGACGACACGATTTCTCAAGGCCAAGGTACGGATAAATCGATCCTGGGCTTGAGTTGTCGCCCTTGGCCGACCTGAGCGTGGTCTGTCCTGTACAGATTGTGTATCACGGTATCTGGACCATAGCCTGCTTATGACAGACTGAGAAACATTCATCGTCCGCGCCACAACCGCCTGTGTTGTGCCGAGCTGTAGCATGCCATGGGCACGTAACCTTTCATTTTGGGTAAGCCGACGCATATCAAAATTTGTTTTCTGGTCACTAAAACAATTAAACTGATGTTTCCACCCTGGAATTCAATGCCACAATGACTGTAACATTCAAAGTCAGAGTCGTGCAAATCTTGGGTTGGACCCCCATGATGATCCCAAGCATCACATGCATTCCATGCGGTAGCTATTGGTGCGTTTGGGCGTCACATTTAACTGGAAATGTTTCTTCTGTTAGGTTCTATAGTGACTTTTTTCGTAGCCATTTGCATATTTTAGTATTTTGCCCCCAAAATCAAATATCCCCTACTTTTTTTGAATAGTATATATTGTCTAACGGTTTCCCACCCTCCTTCTGAGGTATCTGCTAATTTAATCATCAGAATCACTAGCAAGGGGGTTAGAAGTATATTGTCTAACGGTTTCCCCACCCTCCTTCTGAGGTATCTGCTAATTTAATCATCAGAATCACTAGCAAGGGGGTTAGATGTATATTGTCTAACGGTTTCCCCACCTTCCTTCTGAGGTATCTGCTAATTTAATCAATTTATTGAGTTGTTTGAGTTTATCAGAAATTTCTTCTATAACCTCCTGACAATATTCCGGTTTCCCATTAACTACACCCCATACTGCCTGTGATAAACCATCTATCAATTCAGAATTAAATG